CCGATGCTCCATCTCTCCGTGCAGCTCGCCTCCATTGGAAACAAGATCACATTCATCGCCAGCAGTAGGACCAAGACCACCACGCTCTCCACCTTCGAATCCAGTCTATCCCAGATCCAAGACCCTCAAACAGTACGTACCAATCTCATCTTTGAGTTTCTCTCCGGCGACGAACTTCTCCAGCAAGGTGGCGAGCAAGGCTTCCGGGCCAGTCTCGACTGGATGGTCAGCCAGATCACTGCCGTGGACGAAGCAATCGAATCCTGTGTTAGCCGTCACGGTCCAGTTTCCTGTGTGATCCTCGACTTCATGGTTTTCTTCCTCAAGAACGCAGCGGCAGACAAGAGAAATGCCACCGTTGCGGCCTTGTGGACTGCTTCCGCCCCATGGATGCTCCTTTCTTTGCAGATCCAAGCTTTGATCGACGGGGGATATGTTCCACTCACGCCTTCCAATGCTCTGTCCGTCGTCTCCGGCCTCACTGGAGTTCCACCCTTGTGCAACTACAAAGACGTTCCGGTGTGCCTGCTCAAGCCGGCGACAGACCAGCAGATTGAGGAGATAGCAGTGGTCTCGAAGATGTTTTTGGAGGTGCCATGGCTGCTGGTGAACACGATCCCGGAGCTGGACAGTCGATCGCTGCGCTACGTCCGTGAGCTCGGAGTTAAGTCAGTCGCAATTGGTCCTCTGCTGCCACTCCCGGTGAAGGACTCTTGTAGAGCTCCAGACGATGTTCCGGTTCTCTCCTGGCTAGACCAGAAGCCACCCCAGTCTGTCGTCTTTATCTGCTTTGGAACGCTGGCGGAGAACACGCTGGAGCAGCTCCAAGAACTTGCGAGTGCGCTGGAGGAGCTGACGAACCAGAGTTTCCTGTGGGTGCTGCGACCGTCGCAGCAGTCGTGCCTGAGCGAGGATTTCAAGCGACGAACAGCTGCCAGAGGTAAGATCGTTCCCTGGTGCTCGCAGCTCCAAGTTCTCAGCCACCCTTCCATCGGTGGATTCGTGACGCACTGCGGCTGGAACTCCATCCTTGAGAGCCTGAGTTGTGGCGTCCCAATGCTCGGCTGGCCGTGCCTTGGAGAGCAGAGTCTCAACTCCAAATACTTAGCGGATGTGTGGAAAGCCGGCACCAGAATTGTTCCTTACAATCCCGATGGCAGCAACAGGGTAGTGAACCGGTCCGAGGTATCGAAAGAAATCGCCCTTTTGATGACAGGCGAGGAAGGACAAGAGTTGAGGAATCGTGCTCGCGAGATTCAGAAGGCGAGTACGCGAGCCATGCAGTCGTCAGTCGATGAACTTCGGCGCTGGGTTGCTCAACTGTTCCATCAGGGAGAAGCTTCAGTGGAAGAACAAGTCTAAGCTTCGTGGCGCAGCTCGAGAAAAAAACAATGTTGACAATTGATTCCTAGCCAACTTTTTCGGTAAAAGCCTCCAAACACGTCAGACAACGCATTTCTCTCCTCGAATAAATGTGGTTAGCCAAAGCACACCTACCAAAAAAAGAAGACTGAGGCGATCTCTACCAGCAAAGCACCACAAAAGAATGAAAACGATACCGAAAGAAGGCCAGCTGGTAAGTCGTGAGCCCGATGGTCGTCCTCTCATCGCATTCCATGGCTTCTCCACACTTGGTTGTGGTTCCACTGCCGCTCTATGGCCACATCCCCAATGCTTCGATTGTCAGTCCAGCTCGCATCACTGCGAAACAAAATTACCTTCATCGCCAGCGGAAGAACACAGACTGCCACGCTCTCGGCATTCGACTCGAGCCTCTCCCACATCGATGACGCCGAAACGCCGCGTAGCGGGCTTAGCTTTGAGTTCATTCCGATGAAGACGGCGTCGAGCTCGAGCAAGGCGGTGAGGAAGGAATCTGGGCCGTTTTGCGATGGATGAGCGCGCAGCACGGTACCGTAGATCAAATAGTCGAGTCGTCCGTTAGCCGCCACGGCCAGATCTCCTGCGTGATCCTCGACTTCCTGGCTCTCCGTGGCTGACAAGCACAAGGCTTCCGTGGATTTGTTTTGGACGCCATCTCCGCCTTGGCTACTTCTCTCTCTCCAAGTGAAAGCTTTCGTGGACGGGGGCTATGCCATTCTCATGCCTTCCAATGCTCTCTCTACTGTCTCGGGCCTCACCGGAGTTCCAGCTCTGTGTAACTACATGGACGTTCCAACGAGCATGCTGATCAGCAACTTGAAAGGGCTGGCACAGTACCTGATCGAGGTACCATGGGTGATCATGAACACGATCCCGGAGCTGGACTCTCAGTCTCTTGCTTGCATCCGCCAACTCGGAGTGAAGCTGGTCACACTCGGTCCTTCGCTGCCGATAGCTCCGGATGATCTTCCAATCATCACCCCTCTCGGTTCTTTACATCTGCTTTGGAACGGTGGCAGAGCACTCGGTGGAGCAGCTCCAAGAACTCGCCAGCTCACTGGAAGAGCTCGTCAGCAACCACCAGAATTTTTCTTCTTGTGGGCTTTGCGTCGATCCCAGCAGCCGAGCTTGAGCGAGGAGTTCCAGCGAAGAACTTCTGCGAGAGGTCTGGTCGTTCCTTGGTGCTCGCAGCTCCAGATTCTAAGCGTCCCTCGGTTGGTGGATTCGTCACGCACTGCGGCCTAGAGAGCTTGAGCTGTGGAGTTCCACTGGTCGGCTGGCCATCTATCGCGGAGCAAAGCCTCAATGCAAATGGATGTGTGGACGGTCGGCGCCAGGATCGTCCCTCGCAATCCCGATGCCAGCACCAGGCTTGTCGCTCGATCCGAAATATCCGACGCCATCGCCACGGTGATGATCGCCGAGGAAGGGCGGGAGATGAGGAGCCGCCCTCGCGAGATCCCGAAGGCTGCCGATCAAGCAATGCGATCTTCCCTAGCCGAGGCAAGACGCTGGGTGGAGAATTTCTCACCGTTAGAAGATGCTACCTAGGATTTAGGGTTCTTGGGAATGAGAAGGGCGCCTATAGACGATATTCCCAGGACCGTGACGGCGATCCTCAATCTCCTCCACAGCGGCCGGCCATGGAGCGCGATCGAGCCCGATCTCTCGCCATTCTCGGGCGCGTCCACCACGCCCAGGATCGTAGGTAGGGTCGTGAACAGCCTCAAGGACGCCAAGCTCGCCCTCGCCTTCTTCCGCTGGGCGCCAGCGAGCATTCCGGGGTTCTCCCACACCGCATTCTCCTGGAATTCGCTGCTCCAGGTGCTTGTGCGATGCAAGAAGCATCGCGAGGCGGGCGATCTCTTCCGCTCGGAGCTCCTCGCGAGCTGCGAGCCCGATGTGTGCTCCTACAACATCGTCATCTCTGGATTTTGCAATGCTGGCGATCTCCACGCGGCGCTTGAGCTCCTCGAGGAGATGAAGAGCGCCGGGTTCGCTCCAGATGCTTTCACGCACACGCCGATCATCACAGCCATGGCCAATGCCGGTGATTTGGATGGAGCCATGGATCACTTGAGGAGCATGGGATGCGATCCAAACGTGGTGACTTACACAGCGCTCATAGCAGCGTTTGCAAGAGCAAAGAAGCTCGAGGAGGCGATGAAGCTGCTCGAGGAGATGCGAGAGCGTGGCTGCCCTCCAAACTTGGTGACATACAACGTCTTGGTGGACGCTCTCTGCAAGCTTTCCATGGTTGGAGCTGCCCAAGACGTGGTGAAGAAGATGATCGAGGGTGGCTTTGCTCCAAACGTGATGACCTTCAACTCTCTTGTGGATGGATTCTGCAAGAGAGGCAATGTTGACGATGCTCGCAAGCTCCTGGGGATCATGGTGGCCAAGGGAATGAGGCCCAACGTCGTGACTTACAGCGCTCTCATCGATGGGCTTTGCAAGTCTCAAAAGTTTCTCGAGGCCAAGGAAGTCCTGGAGGAGATGAAGACCAGGGGTGTTACTCCCGACGCTTTCACTTACAGTGCCTTGATCCATGGACTGTGCAAGGCTGACAAGATCGAAGAAGCCGAGCAAATGCTCCGACGCATGGCTGGTTCCGGCTGCACTCCCGACGTGGTTGTCTACAGCAGCATCATCCACGCGTTTTGCAAGTCCGGGAAGTTACTCGAGGCACAGAAAACTCTCCAGGAGATGCGAAAGCAGCGGAAATCTCCGGACGTGGTGACTTACAACACAGTGATTGACGGACTTTGCAAGCTAGGAAAGATCGCCGAGGCTCAAGTGATACTGGAACAGATGCAAGAATCCGGGGACGTTCTACCGGACGTGGTGACTTACAGCACGGTCATCAACGGACTTTGCAAATCCGACATGCTTGTCGAGGCACAAAAGTTGCTGGACAGGATGTGTAAAGCTGGCTGCAACCCGGACGTTGTTACTTACACCACCATCATCGACGGGCTTTGCAAGTGTGGAAGATTGGAGGAGGCCGAGTATTTGCTCCAAGGGATGAAGAGAGCTGGCTGTGCTCCAAACGTTGTCACGTACACCACGCTCATCTCCGGCCTGTGCAAAGCTCGCAAAGTGGATGAAGCGGAACGAGTCATGGAGGAGATGAGAAACGCAGGCTGCCCTCCAAACCTGGTGACTTACAACACAATGGTGAATGGTTTGTGTGTGTCGGGACGGATCAAAGAAGCACAGCAGCTAGTCCAGAGGATGAAAGACGGTCGTGCGGAGTGCTCGCCCGACGCGGCCACTTACAGAACCATCGTCAATGCGCTCATGAGCTCCGACTTGGTCCAGGAAGCCGAGCAGCTGCTGGAGCAGATGAAGTCCACCACATCGAGCCAACAGGAACAAGGGTCTCTCACGCTTTTCTAACTGGTGTGTAAGTTCTTTCATTCATAGTCTTTCTTTTTTTTCTCATTTGGTGCTGTTGGCTTTAGCAGGTTGATGCTGATCTTTCCAAGTTCATTGTTTTTGTTGCGAAGTTTATCAACCTCAGGCTTGAATTGATTTCCTTGATTCAACACTTGCGACGGGGAGGGTGTTAGATGCTCAGGTGGGAAGTCTTATAGTATTTGCTGAGATTTGTCTTTCTAAGATTGTTTCAGAGTATCAAAATCGGCTCTACTGAAAAGTTCCTATACGTCAACACTCACGAGGGTTACCAACAGATCATTCAAATCAAGATCTAAAGGTAAGAGCTTTCCTCGTTGTCCCATTTTCTTATAAACTACGCAGGTCCACCACGGGAGATTGGAACTAGAACACTATCTTTACAAGCGTACAAAGCTCTGGGATTCAATCCAAAGGATTAAATCCGTGCTGTGATCGTCGCTACTCCTCACATCAACATGATTCCGACGAGCTCCAAACAACGTTGTCCAATGCGGCTCCACTCCAAAATCCCCGATCATGGACAAGAAACACGATGTCTCACCAGCTTCCCGGCCTGGCTCAGCGCGCTCAAAACCAGCACGAATATAGCCTCACCTATCTCGTCCAGCAGCTTCATCTCATCGAAGAGATTCATCACTGCAACCCATCGGCAAATCCAGCAAGAAGCGAGGTCCACGCCACGAGATTTCTCTCAGGCGTTCTATCGAAGATCTTCTTTGATTTTGCAGTAAAAAATTTAGGACCACAATAGTCGAGAAATATGCCTACAAGCTTGTCTTCTTTAGGAACTTCGCGTTTTCGTTCTCCAGATCCTGTTAGATTACAAAGATTAGAAAACGAAGGCACGGAGGCTTTAGAAAACACAAATCAAAAGTACCAGATACTCGCGAACGTTTGGCAGCTTTTCTCCCGTCAATTTCAGGACCTCCAAATCCGATATGTTCTGGCCTTCTTCGTGAGTCAGCTGTTCTCCCTCGGCAGCTTTGCCTACAGTGTCCACAAGCCTGAATTCAAAGGTAGAAGTTATTTTTCCTTTTTCTTCCAGCGCTTGCCTGTGTCCATGCAAAGAATTCGGCCACCATTTCCAATTCTCATCGATCGTCACGGGCTTAGATATCTCTGACCAAGAAAACTTACCTTCTCATAAGTAGTCCAAGAATCCGATGGATTATACTCCTCTCCAGAAGGATTGATGTTGTGATCGATAATCGAAATTTTCTGGTATCAATCACGGTACTGGTAGGACTGCGACCGCATTAGAAATCTGTGCCGGGGATGCTGATCCCGCTTCGGATGGTCGGGGCGATCTTTCATCCCCGATGCCGTGTACTTCTGATTCATTACGACCATACACAGGCTGAGAGAGTCAAACACACACAGCTTGAACGCAGTAATAAGAAGTCGAGATTGCATAAAGTTCTTCCCCAACTATAGCCCTCCTATTTTTGTTGCATTTTAATCTAGAATTTTTCACTCATGCTTGAGTTTCTTTTGTGCTCTACGAGCTTGTATAGATTCGAGGGCCTAGAGAGCTCTTAATCTTTCTTCCTCAAAGTTTGATCTCAACTTTCACAAGGCTTTCTCATAGGGTTTTTCCTTGATTGATCCCCAAGTTATTGACCATGTGGAGCAATTGTACTCGTATATTACATCCTGGATTCTCTCATCCTAGTCTCTCTTATTTGATTTCATTATCTTCTTGAAAATTCCTTGCAAGGTTTAATTTGTTAATAGTATGGTTTGGATAAAATCCTGAAATAAAATGTTGATGGTGTTATTTAGAAAGAATTTATGACAAGTTCACAAAGTAAACCTTATATTATGATAATTGTTTTATATAAGAATTTTGTTATGTTCTTTGTTGTATTAACTAAGCTTTTATATGCTTATTTCTTTTGTTGGTTTTTGTGAGCAGGCTTACAAAGTCCAGTACAAATTGCTAAAAATGTTCCAACATCATTGTAATTCTTGTCTTTGTTTCTTTGGCAGAAATTTAAATCTTTAGTATGTGTCACATTCATGATAAAATTGGGCACAAATCTTTCCACAATGTGGGCCACTATAGGCCAGTTTATCTTTGGATTCATCACACCTACTAGCATGTCGTCTTGTTTGAGTTTGTACCACAGCTAAATAGAATCTTTTATCCTTAAAACAAATTGCTTTATATGGTCTTTATTTGCATAGTGGCTCAGGAATTTGCAGTGCTCAGTAAATAATATATATCCCTGAGTCAATTCTTTTTGGTATTTGATTGAACATGAAATCAATTTGAATCAGGAAGCTCATCCATGTTTTCACATGTGTTTTCTCTAATAGTGATCCTGCTTAATTGATTTGCTTGTTCATGTTGTTTACTAAACTTTTGAATGATCTCAAAGTTGAATTCTTGCAAGAGGAGGAACTATCATATAATTTTTCTGTTAGTTTGTTGAAGAGGTGGAATAAAGTTTTGTTATCCACCATGATCTTCACTTTGTTAGTTAGCAAATAGTGGTTCTTGGTAAAGAATCTCTTTATAACTTGTGAACAACCACAGTTCAATGGTGTTCCCAAGCCTTGTTGTTTCTATCTAAGTTTGTTTTAAAAATGTGAGTGTTTGTTGGGAGTTTGGAGAGCTTGGCCCAATTTTATGGGATGTCTAGTGAGTGGCTTGCAATCAATTGTTAAAACACAATGGTCTTGAGCATAGAGAAGTTGTTGGAGGATATCTCTAATGAGCTGGAGTAGTCAGAGAGGAGTTTGAATGCAAGCTGTGGTGAGTTAACGAGCCAGTTATTGGAACACAGTGGCCCCGAGCATGGAGGAATTACTAGAGGACACCTTCAGTGTGTTGAAGAGACTAAGAATGATTAAAGAGTCTGTCACTATGGGTAGGGAAATTTTAGAGTTGTTCGTGAACAGTTGTGAATCTCAAGTATCCTAAAAGTCCTAAGAGAGTTCTCTAATAGGTTGGATTGGAGTGACTGGGAGCTCCTGGTGCAAGAAAGAGCCCATCACCTTCTTGGGCAAGTTGGATTGGAGAATCTTGGTATACATTAAGAACAACTATAGACCAGTGGTGTTCCTAGGCATGTTTGAGAACAAAGTAGTGCATGAGAGAGACAGAGACCACAACTGCAAAGTTAGGAGTAAAAAAGATTCACTGGAGAATTTGTGCATGGCATCTCCTTGGTGCTGCAAGTTGGTGGGCAGCACTTCTACTGCAAGTAGGCCATTAGAGGTGCCTTCGGTGAGCTGAAGGAACTCAGGAGCGACAAGAAGAAAAAAGAAGAGGAGAACAGCTAGGCGGATTAAAACCAACTTGGACTGTTTGCATCCACAACCAAGGCACAAAAGTTGCTGGACAGGATGTGTAATGCAGGGAGGCTGATCTTTAGTTATGGGAAGTCTTATCGTATTTGCCAAAAGCTTTGGTTTTCTAAGATTGTATCAGAGTATTCTATTGAGAAGCTCCTATGCGTCAACACTCACTAACTCAAAATCACGGGGCTATAGTATCAGAGATTTAATGACGATGGGCATCTTTCTCTCAAGAGCTTCCCTCTCCCATCTATACCTTTCATTTTTCTTATAAACCACGCAGGACCACCACGGAGGTGACGGTGGATCTCCAAACTCTATTGGAACTACGTACGCTTCTTACAAGTGTACAAGCAAACTCAAAGCTCTGGGATTCAATCCAAAATCCTTTCCCGGCTGCTCCTTGTTGCTGGCCCTCACATCATCATGATTCCGACGAGCTCCAAACAACGTTGTCCACTCGAGAAAATCAGGAACAAATGGCATGCTGCAAATGAGTTCGCGAGCGTTGCGGAGGTGACCGACCCTGCAAAGAAGATCTACCAGACAAGAGTAGTGCTGCTTGCACGGCTCCACTCCAAAATCCCCGACCATGGACAAGAAACACGATCTCCCAGCCTCCAGTTTCCCGGCCTGGCTCAGAGCGCTCAAAACCAGCACGAAGATGGTCTCACCGATCTCGTCCAGCAGCTTCATCGCATCGAAGAGAGTCATCACTTCTCCCAGTCGCGACCCATCGGCAAATCCAGCAAGAAGCGAGCTCCACGCCACAAGATTTCGATCGGGCATTCTATCGAAGATCTTCTTTGCTTGATCCAAATGCCCGTTCTGGGCATACGCTGCTGCGATCGCGGTCCAGCACACGCGATTCCTCTCCGGGAATTCGTCAAACATCGCCTTTGCCTCGTAGATCCTGCCGCTTTGCGAGAGCATTGACACAACTGTGTTCCAGGAAGCCATGTCGTGCTCGGGCATGGCTTGGTGAAAGATCTTCCGGGCCTCCTCCACAAGGCCCATCTTGGCACACGCGGATAGCACCGCGGTAAGCAGCACCAGATCCTTGGCCGGGATGGAATCAAGCAGCCACAATGCCGACTCCAGATCGCCTCTCGCCGCATAGCCATCGATCATCGCAGTGGCCGTGACGAGATTGTGCCGCGGCATTCGATCGTAGATTGCCTTGGCCGCGCGGAGATTGGTAGCTCTTCCGCGATCCTGGGAGTTTGAGTAGAGCGCCAGCATCGATCCACAAGAGACGATGTCCCGCTCGCGCATCTCATCGAAGAAGAGACGCTCCGCTTCTTGGATCTTCCCATGCTGCGAGTAAATCGCGAGCATCGCGTTGCAGCACACGAGGCTGTGCTGTGGCAATCGATCGAACAGCGCCCTTGAGTGGCGGAGGCCATCGATCCTGCCGCCAAGAACACCCAGGATGGTGGTGATCGAGAAGGGATCTATGGCCGGCATACTCTCGAAGAGCCTCTCGGCCTCCTCAATATGCCTAAGGCGGGCATACGCGAAAAGCATAGCGTTCCATGTCACAATGTTTGTCTCTGGCAGCCCATCGAAAACTCTTTTTGCGTCTTCAAGCTTGCCAGCCACGGTATATGCCGTGAGCATTGCGTTCCAGGTGACGAGATTCCTGTGCTCCATGGCCAAGAATATTTCTTTCGCGTCCTCTATATGCCCAGATTGGGCATATGCTGTTAGTAGTGTGGTTTCAGAGATTACATCCTTTTCGGGTATCTTTTCCAGAATGGATTTTACATTTTCAAGGTTACCAGCTTGTATGTGTCCAAAGAGATATGTATTCCAAGAAATGAGATTTAAAAGGGGCATCTCTAGAAAGAATGACACTGCTTTATCAAAATGCCCACTTTGGGCATATGCTGAAAGCATGGCATTCCACGTAACGAGGTTTCTTTCGGGCATCTTGTCAAACAAAATTTCAGCGTCTTCAACTTTACTGGCTTGTGCTAATGCCGATAGCATTGCCGTGCAAGATACCACGCTGTGTTGTGGCATCGCTAAGAAGATTCGCTTTGATTTATCAAGGTGACCATTTCTGGCATTTGCAAAGAACATTGTGTTCCACGAGACAGCGTTTCGGTGCTTCATGGAGGTAAATATCTCTTGCGCTCGATCGAGAAAGCCATTGTCTGCATACGCGGCAAGGATTGTGTTCCAGGACAAAATGCTGTGCTCCGGCATCGCGTCAAAGATTTGCCTGGCTTGGTCCAAATCTCCGTTGCGCGAGTAGGCCGAAAGCATCAGCTTCCAGGACGAGCAGTTCTTCCCGGCCAATCCATCAAATACTCGCCGCGCGCTCCTGGCGCTCCCAAATCGCCCATACATCTCGATCAATCTGTTGGAAATCGCAATCGCCTCCTCCTCTTTCTCCTCCATTTCCAAGAGGCCCTGAATTCTTCTGTGGGCGCTCTCGAGCATAGTGAGCGAGCTACAGGATTGGATGAGATGGAGCGCATCGTTCCCGGTCACGAGGAAGAAGAAGCAAACCATAAAAGATTCTTTATTCAGAAAGGAATATTCTTTGTCAGATACAATAAGAGCCCTAATTCCCAGCACTTTTGAAACTCTGTGCCCAGCGTCTTGCCTCCACTAGGGAAGATCGCATTGCTCGATCGGCAGCCTTCGGGATATCGCGAGCTCGTCTCCTCATCTCGCGCCCTTCTTCGGCGATCATCACAGTGGCGATGGCGTCGGATATTTCGGATCGAGTGACAAACCTGGTGCTGGCATCTGGATTGCGAGAGATGATCCTGGCGCCGACCTTCCACACATCCACCAGGTACTTTGCATTGACGCTTTGCTCCGCGATAGATGGCCAGCCGACCAGTGGAACTCCACAGCTCAAGCTCTCCAGGATGGAGTTCCAGCCGCAGTGCGTGACGAATCCACCAATCGAGGGATGCTTGAGAATCTGGAGCTGCGAGCACCAAGGAACGACCATACCTCTCGCAGAAGTTCTTCGCTGGAACTCCTCGCTCAAGCTCGGCTGCTGGGATCGACGCAAAGCCCACAAGAAGAAGAGATTTTGGTCGAGTTCTTCCAGTGCGCTGGCGAGTTCCTGGAGCTGCTCTGCTGAGTGCTCTGCCACCGTTCCAAAGCAGATGTAAAGGACCGAGAGGGGTGGCTTCTCGTGCAGCCAGGAAAGGATTGGAAGATCATCCGGAGCTACCGGATCATCCATTGGCAGCAAAGGACCGAGTGTGACCAGCTTCACTCCGAGTTGGCGGATGCAAGCAAGAGACTGAGAGTCCAGCTCCGGGATCGTGTTCACGATCACCCCTGGTGCCTCGATCAGGTACTGTGCCAGCTCTAGCGTCCTTTCAAGTTGCTGATCTCTTGGCTTGAGCATGCTCGTTGGAACGTCCATGTAGTTACACAGAGCTGGAACTCCGGTGAGGCCCGAGACAGTGGAGAGAGCATTGGAAGGCGTGAGAGGGGCATAGCCGCCGTCCACGAAAGCTTTCACTTGGAGACAGAGAAGTAGCCAAGGCGGAGATGGCGTCCAAAACAAAGCCACGGAAGCCTTGTGCTTGTCAGCCACGTCCCTGAGGTGGAGAGCGAAGAAGTCGAGGATCACGCAGGAGATCTGGCCGTGGCGGCTAACGGACGACTCGACTATTTGATCTACGGTACCGTGCTGCGCGCTCATCCATCGCAAAACGGCCCAGAGTCCTTCCTCACCGCCTTGCTCGAGCTCGACGCTGTCTTCATCGGGAATGAACTCAAAGCTAAGCCTGCCACGCACCGTTTCGGCGTCATCGATGTGGGAGAGGCTCGAGTCGAATGCCGAGAGCGTGGCAGCCTGTGTTCTTCCGCTGGCGATGAAGGTAACTTTGTTTCCCAGTGATGCGAGCTGGAGTGACAATCGAAGCATTGGGGATATGTGGCCATAGAGCGGCAGGGGAACCACAACCAAGTGTGGAGAAGCCATGGAAGCTTGCTGATGTTTCTTCGACATGCTTTTGCCGCCGCCCTAGGACTAGAACAGAAGTGCTGCACGGCTGAGGTGTGATCGATGTCGACCAAAAGTTTGTCAAACAGCTATACAAGCGGGCCATGCAAAACGACAGGGAACCATTCTTTGCCACGAATTTTTTCTAGACTTGTCTTCTACTGAAGTTTCTTCTGGTTGCAACAGTTCCACGAGTGATGACTGCATGGCATCAAAGCAACAAGATTATACTCTAAATCCCCTTAGAAAAAATATAGCCACTTTATCCAAATGACCTTTGAATTGCCTCAAGATGGAAACAACACTGTGTTCCAAGAGACATGGAGCTAAATATTTCTGGCAGTCGATTGGGCGAAAATTTGCCTGGCGAAAATTTGAGTTGGGCTTTTGGCGCTCTGTGATGAATATTCTCAATTCAAATGTTTGGATTAAAAGGTTTGACTGTGACGGTGCGCCGGCGGAGGCTTCATAGATTGGAAAGATTCCCACGCGAATCTTTCCGATTAGCGTTGCTATCGACCGAATCGAGCCCGAGACCTCTCACCAGCCAGCGACGCCGACAGCTCTTCTCCTCGTTATATTCGTACTCAGCTACGCACGCAAGCAAACAGCGTATGTATACACGTATGGAATGGAAGAAGCGAACAGAAAGAACGCATTTAATGTCAAAGAGACGCCGTCCCAGTAAAAGGTTAAAAGGTCTTCGTTTTTACTAATTTATTTGCGAATATTGGTGCGCATGAAGAGAAAGAACGAGGGCTTAGCTAATGAAAGAAGGAATGATGAACACATTCCAGGCGCTGGCGCTGGCCGGAAGGAGCTAGGTCGATTCGATCGCTAGGGCGCATTCATTGCGCGGCACAGGTTTGTGAAGCCAAATCTCGTGGTATCGTTGCGCTCCAGGCAAGCAGGCGGCTCCATCGGCATGGGATCGCGATGATCTTTGCTTGTTTCGATGGAATCCCGAGCGCGGGCACGTATTTCGAGCGCTCCAGGCCGGAATCCCTCCTCTTTTGGGATCGCAATGCGGGTATCCAGCTGCGAGCTCTGGAAATATTGAAAGGCTGGGCAGTGATTCTGTTCTTCCGGGAAGAAGGAAGGGGCGAGCTCGCCGAGCCAAGACAATGGCGTTAGTTAGGTGGATGTAACTGCTGCCTAGTTCCGGAATGCGGCGCGCAACAAGAATCGAGAGCTCTCGTCGTGATCATCCAGGCGCTCGGCTCCAAGCTGGATTGATTATAAGGGGATGGAATCGCCAGAGTTTCAGTTCGACGTTTTCTCCGCGAATGATCATCACTTCTCGCTGCGCGATAGCGTTTCTTTCGTCGATGGCAATGCTGCTAGTGCTGCTGCGGCTTCGAGACGACACTCGCGATCTATGAGGTATGGCTTTCTCGCGACACTGGTTGGTAACTTTGGAAAAGCTGATGCTCGTGAGCTGGAGCAGTGCGCCAGTGTATCAACGCCCGTCTGGTGGTTGGGGGGAGGCTTTTCAATACAAAGAGGTGAGCAACGCCGATACACTCTCACTCTCATCGCTAGTTCCCTCTTCTCTTCCAAACACTTTTTTTCCAGGTCTTTATGCCGGATAAAACAAGAGGGTGGAGCTACATGCTGAAAAGGAGCGATGTTGACACGAGAATTAGCCAGCGAGCGAGCTTAGAGAAGGACGTAAGTAGCGATGGTTTAAGAAAGAAGTTCTATTTCACTTACGTGATCCATCAATTGGTGCTTTTAATTCCGCAGGTTCATGAGCTCCAGCTACAGCTTGAGATTGAGAAAACTGTACGAAAGGTGCTGGAGAAGGCCTTAACATCGCCCTGCTGTGAGCCACTATCGTCTGGAGTTTTAAGTCCTCAGGTGAGTGGAGTGGTGCATTAAACTGTACTATATTTCTGTTTTTTCAAACTGGTCCTTTGTCCGCCTGGCAGATCACGGAGCTCATCAAAGAGATTTCAAGTCTCGAGTCAGAAGTGGTTCACTTGGAGAAGCACGTACTCTCACTGTACCGGAAAGTGTTCGACAGCAAAGGGACTCCACAAGATGCCGGCGTTCCAATGCGTCTGCTGTCGTCGAGCGACCATCAACATAACGTCAGCGTCCGACACAGGCCAAGGAGAGCTTATTCTTTCCAGCATAGACGACATGCTTCCCAGGGCTGCCAATCTCTACAAGATGCTGCCTCATATGCGCATTCGAAAACAAGGCATGCGTCGCTCCTTGGCGGGAAGTTCCGCATTGCGGAGGAGCAGGAAAACGTAAGCAATGCGTTTCAAAGCCTTTCTTTACCTTTTTTGCTCTTTATCTTGGCCAGGAAACTCGGGTGTATTCTTCCGAATTTGATGTTCCGAGTCCGCGGGGCTGGGCCTTGGCGTGTGATACTCATACGGTAAAAGCCGTTTCGCTGTATCATCTCTGCAATTTCTGGCTTTACGTGTGCAGCCGCTGCAAGGCGCAGCACCAGATCGCAACTTAACGGAATTCTACGATTCTCCGAACAAACTGTCGGAACGAATGGTGCGCTGTATGGCTGCCATTTACTGTAAACTAGCTGATCCGCCGCTGCCATCCACTGGAGATGCATTATCTCCACCTTCTTCATCGTCAATGTCGTCAACGGGCACTTCTCGTGATGTATCCAGCGAAGGATGGAGTCCGCTGTCCAAAGAATCGGCGACTTGTTCAACGAGTATGATCGAAGTCCCCTGGATTCGCGTGGACAAGGAGCGTTTGACTTACGCAGCACAGGCCTTGCGGAATTTCAGGTGAGCGGTTTTAATTATGGTGTTTCGTTGCTGCTGGCTGACATACCGGCCGACAGATCAATGGTCGAGCAGCTTGAGAGCGTTCACCCGGGTGAAATGAAGCATGACGAAAAGCTGGCGTTTTGGATAAATATCCATAACGCGCTGGTGATGCACGTACGAGAATCTCTTCTGATTTAACTCACCTGATCAAGATTCTCGCTCCTACTAACGTGCGGAGATGACGTCTCTTGCAGGCATACTTGGCATATGGAATCCCGCGCAGTAATCTTAAAAGGGCTTCTCTTTTGCAAAAGGTACATCCACCAGGCCATACCAGCTTCTTGCTTAGAAATTGCGTTCGTGTTCCCCATGTTTCAGGCTGCGTATAAAGTAGGTTCATATTCTATAAACGCGTGTACCATAGAGAATTCGATTCTTGGCTGCCGCTCTCAACGTCCAGCTCAGGTTCTTGCCATCGCACTTGCAACTTGACGGAATTATATTCCTTCTGTGCAGTGGCTTCAAACGCTTTTCGGACCCCTCACCAAGTTCAAATCGGAAGAACGTCGAGCTTATGCACTAAACACGCCAGAGCCACTGATCTGTTTTGCGCTGTGCTCCGGAGGACGCTCCGATCCGGCGGTACTTTCCCCGTTTACTTGCGTGTATCTGGCTCACATTTTGTTCCAGGTGCGAGCTTACACTCCAAAGTCTGTCAAGACAGAGCTCGAGTCAGCCAAGAGAGACTTTCTACTCGCAAACATCAGCACCAAAAACAGCAAAGTCCTGGCGCCAAAGCTGGTCGAGGCATATGCGCGCGACGCCGGGCTCTCCTCGAGCAAGCTCCTGGATTGGATCATCCGCAACGCATCTGACAAGCAGGCGAGGAACTTTCGGCATGGAAAGTCGACGGGGCAGCGGCAGCGACACCTGGAATGGATCCCTTACGACTTTAACTTCGGCTACGTGTTTGTGAGGGAGCTGGCGACGACGACGAGATAAGTGGTTTTCTTCTCCGAGTGAGTTCTTCACAGCATATTTATTGGTTCTAACTCTGTGTATATTAACACCCCAAAGCGAAGTTTACAGCTTGAAAGAAAAAGAGACGCAACACGGGGTGGTATTCACTTTTAAAGAAGCTTCTTCCGCGACAAGAGCGTGAGCCAGCCAAACCATAGGTGCGCGAACGGAAAGCGTGCACACACGACTCTCACAACAGCGTTGCTCAGCTCAGCCACAAAAACCAATGACGACGACGACGACGACGACGACTTTTCCTCCCCTCGATCGAGATTCGACAAGCCGGAAGCTATGTACAGCTTACTAGGAAGCAGCGGAGGTGGGCGGGGACTTATGATGATGGTGATCGGGCGTGACATCCTTGGCAGCAGTACCGCCAACCAGCCACTTCAAGCTCCGCCTCGCAAATCCAGAGACCGATGCTCCTCGGTTTGCCGCGGACGACTCGCCGCCGCCACTCCAGAGATTGCCGGAGCCAACCGAGACGGACCTCCGCAAAACATCCGGGCTGCGAGCAGCCGGCAACGAGTCGGGCTCGTCGAGTGGAGCAAGCCCGGCAAAGCTGTTTGAGTGGTGGATCACAACCTGAGGAGGAGCAAGTCCCCGCTGGCTCCTGGCTCGCATTTTCTCCCGGATCTCCATCAGCTCCAGGTCGTGCACCGCCATCTTAAACGACTCCGAGTGCCGCGAGAGTGTCCTCACCGCCTGGCCTTGGTCGTGCCGCCGGCTGGCATCCAGCGCCTCGTCGGGCTGGTGATCTTCACGAAGAACCGGGCGCTCGGGATCCGCCGCCACCGTCACCACCACCTCCACCTCCACCTCCGCTGCTGCGTCCCGCCGCCCCTCAGCGATGGAGTTGGAGTTTGGATCCCGGCGGAAGGAGCCGACCACTGCCGAGAGAGCGCGCTGCAGGTGCCCGGACACGGCATTTTGGTCGAGGTTGCGGCGACAGAGCGGGCAAGTGGAGTGGGTCTCGAGCCACATATCGATGCAATCGGCGTGGAAGAGGTGGCCGCAATCGGGGAGGAGGCGGACTTGCTCGTTCTCCTCGAACTGGAGCAGGCACACTGTACACTCGGGGCCGGCCTTCCCCTTCTTGCTGGATTTGATGGACGAGTATCTCAAGATGGGCAGCTTCTCCAGCGATTCGGGATCCAGGCCGCGGTGCCGCTGCTGCTGCTGCTGCTGGCCTTGCTGCTGCTGCGCGTTGGGGCCGGCGTTCCAGCCGGTGGCATTCACCATGTTGCAGCGGCGGATGTAGAGCACGAAGAGGGCCATGAAGAAGAAGGTGGTGACGAGCACCACGACGATGATCGCCATGCTCGCGTTGAATTTGTAGGTGAGATCGCTCGGGTAGAACATCCCGCCGGGGCCGCTGGGTGGGCTCGACGACATTGTAGCTGCTCGCGAAATATCGCCCAAATCGATAGATGACGATGGGAAGGATCTAGATCGAATCGCGGAAAGAGGAAGAAATCCCTCTCGGGCTGATGGATATCGATCTTAAATAGCCAGACCTTGGTCCTGCCGCTGTTCACACGCAGATTTCCGCGATCGCTCGTCCCTTTGTCGTTGCTGCTGGCCTCTCGGCGCGTCCTCGTTACGATCCAAGAGATAGAACCGGAAAAGAGAACGCGGACACCGCTGTTCTCATCGCACGGCTTTCTAGCCTATCCCTCACTAGCCACGCCAGACAGAGATCCACAACACGCCAAGCCGAGCGCTCCATCGCGCCCTCTCTCCTCTCTCTCCTCTCGCCCTCTCTCCTCTCTCCTCTCGCCCTCTCGCCCTACCCTAATTTCTCCCCCTGGAAGAAGAAGTATCGCAGTCGCCAGGCATTGGAGAGAGGCTTTGTTGCCAAAGTCGTATCCGGCAGCTCTGTGCTGGTTGACAAAATTTTCCCACTGCCACGTGGCCAACACTGGGCCACTTGAAAAAAATTTCTAGTAAGGGAATTTTATTTCTTACATTACGTAGGCGGCCATCTAGATTTTACACTTACCATGGCGGCCTTCTAGATGCTCCCAGACCATAGCACAAGCATTGTATTCCGGCGCTACTACAGTAAAACGCCAGAAGAATATTCGCAAGAATCTTTCCGACACAAGGAGATCGATCCAACGGCTACGATTTGCGTGCGTTTGAAATAATCTTTAAACAAAATAGAAAGATTATCTCCGACGAAGAGGATGAGATGAGCGTCCCTTCCCTTTCAAAGAGGTAGGGCTGCCTTTCCGTGATATGAATCTTTGGCCTCTCTCTCTCCCAAAAGAAATCTCTCTTTCCTTTGCGCGCCTCGCAGATCCATCCACCAGCATTTCCTCCATCATCGATCGGCGCCTGCATTTCGACTCCTCTTCTCGATCAATGATCTCTGGTGGTGAGCAGCAGCTCGCAATTCCCTCTTCTTGGCGTGGCTATGGCGGATTTTCACGAGCGGTGATTTGATCGGCCGAAATATCGACTCGAACTTCTTCCTTGGAGGGAGCTATGGCGGCTCCTCCATCGGCATCGCCGCTCACATACCCCTACAGCCTGAATTTCCAGTCGAGCACCAGCGTCGCGATCATCATCGTCGTCCTCGGCGCCACATTCTTCTTCATGTTCTTGTTCGTCATCTACATCAAGCGATGCAACACGGAGCGATTCGACCAGGGCGATGGGATGATGGCGCTCTCCAATCCACGGCACGATGGCGGCGGCGGCGGCGATGGCTGGAATCACCACCACCAGCAGCCGCGCATCCACGGCCTGGACCCCGAGGTTCTCCAGAAATTCCCAATCTTACAGTTCTCTCTGGATCGCAGCGACAGCAAGAACAAGAACAGCGCAAGCGCTACCACCAAGAAGGGCAAGATCATCGATGGCCCGGTGGAATGCGCGGTGTGCTTGGGGAATTTCGAGGAGGGCGAGCTCTTGCGGATCTTGCCCGCTTGCGGCCATCTCTTCCACCCGGATTGCATCGATGCGTGGCTCCACACGCACTCCACTTGCCCGCTGTGCCGGCGAAGCCTCAGCCGCGATGCCGTGTCTGGGCATTTGCTGCAAAGAGCGCTCGCCGCGATCGCATCGCTCAGGAGCTCTGCCAATGCGGCCGCTGCCAACGAGGGGGACTCCTCCCCGGAGAATTCCACCATCTCTCCTCCAGTTCTTCCCACCCCTAGCGAGGATTTGGATCTGGAATCCCAGCAAGAGCTCGAGCAGGGACGGATCCTCCGCGCGCTCTCGCGCAATTCCGAGTCGTTCAAGGCGGCAGCACAGAGCTTGGAGATCCAGGAGAGGCTACTCGCGGCGGTGGCGGCGACGAGCTCCTCGTCTGGAAGGTACAATCTCTCATCCAGCTCCAATCCGGGCTCCGCGAGGCTGGAATTCCTCTCCCCGGGGAGATTGAGGAGCCTCTCTCACACCGCGGCAATGTCGCCCATCGCGTGTGGGCGAATGCCCCACTCCCAGAGCTTGACCAATCTCGTCGCCAGTGGGCAATCGCCCGGATGCTCGCAGTGCCAGCAGCCGGATGAGCCGCAATCGCAGCAATCGCGCTTCTCCCTGCGGAGATCCGTGTCAGCGTCCGGCCGGCGGCCATAAGAGCCCTAAAAAACAGAGGAGTGCTCCTCGGGACTGGTGATTGAATGGATCCCCCCACCAAACCCGAGCGCGACTGGACGGATCAAAGATTGGATTGATTGCGTGCTGCAGCTGCGATGCGATCGATCCATCCGAGCAGTAAAAGGTCGGCATCAAATGGGAGAACAGGGGAAAAAGGAGATGCGAGTGCCCTAGATGACGTTCCTTCTGCCCTAGCGGCGGGGGAATGGATATTCCGCTAGGCGAGAGACAGTTTGTGTTGTCCTAGACCTAGGAAAGGAGAGGAGCTCTGGCGGCGAGTGATCAACTCGGCATGGCGGGGGCTCCGCAGCCCAACATGGCGCTCCTCTCGCAAGCTCTCAATCAGTGCTCCGTCGAGGTTGCCCACATTGGGAACCTCCCCATCAAGATCCAGGTAACTAGAAAAAAATGCCTCTTGCTTGAATCTCTCATCTTTTTCTGTTCGTGATCGCAGCAAACGCAGCAGCAGATCCAACAGACACAGCAACAGATTCAGCAGCAGTTGCAACAAGTTCAACAGCAGCTGCAGGTGATTCAGCAGGCGCAACAGCAGCAACTGCAGCAAGTCCAGGTGAGCGCATGAAACAGAAAAGAAAAACAAGTTCACCAAAAGGAAGGACAAAATCGACACGCCACCTGTTTCTTGAAGTTGACAAGCACGTAGTTGATCACAGTAACACAAGTTTACAAACAGTCACACACACTTGGGAATTGTGCTGAAAGACTTGATCGGAAGCTTGCTTGTGGGAAGAATGAACTTTAAAAGCTGGAAGCTCAAAGCTGGTTGAATTGAATCGTGTTCCTCGCTCTGCTTGTGCAGCAAAGCATCCAGATCCTGCAGCAAGGCCAGGCGGGGATGCTGCAAACGCTGCAGCAGTGCATCCAGGCGCAGGCGCTCGTCCAGCAGGTGTCCGAGGCCCGGGCGCTGGCCCGAGCTGCAAACGCCGCAACCTCGCAGTCGATCGAGCCGCTGCCCGACGCGCAGAACGTGATGCCGCAAAACTTCCCCGCCACGAGATACGAGCTGACGCAGCTCAACGACAATGGCGTCAACAATCTGCTCGGCTTCTACGGCCTGCAGCTGCAAGGTAACATTGATGCCCGGCGGCAAAGGCTGGCGAGATTTCTCGGTGTGTCCTTGTGAAAGGTACTCGTTCCATCATTTCGGATATACAACTTTTAAAGTGCTAGTGACTGATCCTGACGAGATTTTCGAGCAGATTTGTGAACTTTGTTTTGTTTCAGCTGTTGTTTGCGCTGATGTTTTGAATGCCGAGGCAACTCATCACGTCCCTAGCCAGGCCACAACTTTCAGGGTCCATTTTTTCTGAATTGTTATCGTGATATCGAGGACTACTTTGTGTGAATCTATAATAGTGTCGAATCTTCCAAGTTCAAAGCAACATGAAGGTAATGAAAAGCTTGACATGTTTTTCTTTTTTCCCATGAGCTTTCAAACGCTGAGAACTGAAAAGTCTTCTAGCCCCTGTATTCGGCGTGATATAAGATTCAGGGACCCATGAATATCTATGCAGTACGTTCGTGGTCATCAAAGAGCAGAGTGTGGAGTTACATGGTCTATTTTTGTGCGCGAACTTGCTTGATCGTGTCAATCGCTGGTGTGACATGGTGGAGAGTAAAGAAATGCGAACCAGACCAGCCAATTCTGGCTGTCATGCACAATATCAATCAGCCCAATAAAGAAATCGGAATGCACACTGTCTCTAACACCGCAAGCAGGGAGATCGAGGCGTCTACAACCTTAATATACGCAGTCTTCGGTCTTGCTCTCCAGAAAACACCAAAACTTCCGAGCAGGGGAATATCCGGCCTTTGACAATGACGAGTTTTTGATCTTGTTGTTTCCCAAGGTGTTGTTTGTTTGCCCCTCTCCATACCTACACATCTCTAGCTATAAGAACCCCTTTTGATCCAAACAAGATCACTCACCAATTGGGTAGAAGAAAGAAACCTTGAACAAAAAAAAGGGAATTGGAGTGGCCAGGGGGATTAAATGTGGGCCTTTAAGAAGTAAGAAGGTAGACACACAGAACTCACACAATGGTGCCCATGCCCATACCAATGAGTCAGTGACAGGGGTTAAAAATAAAAACAAAGTCAAGAGCTAAAGAGCTGCTTCCTGCCAACAAGTGTGCCAGAAAACAACAACAGGCCCTCAGGATGGATGGATGAATTAAGCTGGGCCCACAGACAGGCATATTCTTGGGATATTCCTGATTTTTATTCCGATTCTCACTGGGCCAGTTTTACTGTTTTACCCCAGCAGGCGGCGCCGCTTGGTCACCTGTCGGTTGGTAGGGATGACAATGTCGGTAATCAAAGCGATGCACGTGGGAACGGACTGACTGACGGAAATGCCGCCGGCTCTCTGTCAGCCGCCTACGTGTAGCACGTATATTCCATCTGCTGATTCGCCTCCCATGGCGGGCGTCGTGTACGCTACGCAATACGAGCATACGGGCACAACATTGAGACTGGAGTGCTGTGATTTGCCTAATTCGTCGAGCGAAAAGAATGGCGGATCGATTCCATGGTATGATCGCGACAACGAAAGCCGCCACGTCATTCTGTGTGGCTTTGGCACGGCAGTAACACTGTGAGTGTGTGTATGTACAAGAGTAGTGTACAAGTGGTATTCGTATCGTGGGTGTCGTATGTGTGCTTGAAAGGGAATCTCGCGATGACGACAGCGTGTGTGTGTTTATACAGGCGACGCATTTAGGGTTTCCACACGTAAAATGATCCCGCGCGGGTTGGCAACAACGAAATTTGGCAATGATTCGGGGATTTGATGCTCCTACATGGGAAGGAACAGGAGCGGAGAAGGATGAGAGCGAAATGATCTTAGACGACGATACCATAATATGCTGTGGTCCATCCACTCTTCCTTTTCTCCTTTGAGTGTGATTTTTCTTTTTGCTTTGGTTGGAGCTCGAGGTTTCTGGGGGGCGTCTCGCTCGCGTGCGTGCCACTTTGTGGGATGGAATATATAGATTGGAATCTGGAGTGTGCGTGATTGTTCTTGTGGGGGGTTTGTTTGTCCCCCTCCCGCCCCCAATTATTCACTTGCGGGCGATGCAAATCGAAAAAACCAGCGACGAGAAAATGCGGGTTTGATACCAAAACGAGGAGCACTGGCTTGATTGATTTTACACACTTGCTCCATTGCGAGGGGGCACAGCGCAACCAGTACGGCGCCGGTACGGCACGGTCAAGCGGCGCTGACCGCGCACCGACAAAGCTGCGGCCGCCTGGCCGCAAAGCCCGCCGGGTCCAGCGCCGCCTGCAGTGGGGCCGCCTGTCGCCCAGCCGGTCACCCCGGCGTGTCCACTAACCGGTCCACAACATTCCGACCGGTCACGGCCCCACTGTCCGTACCGGATAGGGGCGGCGTACGGTAGGCGGGGCTGCCCAAGTGTGTTTAGTTTAGTGTTGTTGAGCTGGGTTTTTTTGGTTTCGCTGCTCGGCTATGGCGGACAAGGGAAGCAGCTGTGTCTGAAGAGAGCAGCAAAAAGACGTGAAATTCCGTTTGCTCTGTTTTTGGGAGCGCAGTGCGTTGTTGCCGCTTGTGATCCCCCAGATCCAAGCGCTCCACCTCTGGTGTTTGTCACTACTTTCCTCTCTCGATCTTATCCATTCCCATTCCAATCCTTTCCCGTCCTGGGTTTTCTCCCTTGGGTCTCTTCTCTCGTGCGAGCGAGTAGAGGGGTTTTAAACTTCCCAGATCCTGTGAGCTGCGGTCGTCTTGTTGGTGTTCTTGTCGCTCTTCCGGGGAGCACAACGGCAAAACTGGCATTATTGGGCCGGCAGCGGCGGCTTCCCGTGTGGATCTGCCGGATCACAGGCCATGGGGCTGCGAAATGCTCAGCAGTGGTCGCAGGTAGAGCTCCGTCTCGTCTCGCGGGGGGTGGAATGAAGCATGTCTAGCAGCTCGCTCGACTTCTAGGAGCACGAGAACAGAACAAGCATCGATAGAAAAGTAGAAGGCGAGAGATTTGAGCTGGTTTTGGAGCTCGATCTGCCTTCTTCCAAGTCCGAGTGAAAGCTAAAAGGTAGCGCCAGGATTCATGGAAGGTACTACTCGCGAGTTACACAGAGAGAGAGAGAGAGAGAGAGAGAGAGAGAGAGAGGGCTTTAGCTGGGTGGAAATGAATTGTTTGCTTGCAGGAGAGAAGAAGGCGATGAACACGGCTCTTTGGCTGGAATGCGCTGGTCCTCTGGTGACGCTTCCAACAGTAGGCAGCCATGTCGTCTACTTTCCTCAAGGCCACAGCGAACAGGTTCGTAGCAAACGCAAAGAGGGTGTGACGCAGGAACTTAGAGAAAGTTGGTGTTTGATCTCCAGGTGGTGGCTTCCACGACTCAAAAGGATGGAGTGGAGGCAGAGATCCCGAACTATCCCAATCTCCCAGCGCATCTCATTTGCCACCTCCACAACATCACGCTCCATGTAAGCTTTCCAGATCTTGCAGCGAGAGTTTGTTCGAGCTAAGCGGAGGACTTGGTTTCAGGCCGATCCAGACACGGACGAAGTCTACGCGCAGATGACTTTGCAGCCGGTGCAGAACGACAAGGAGCCCTTCCTGACACCCGATCTGGGAATCCAGCCCAAGCAGCAAACTCTCTCCTTTTGCAAGACTTTGACAGCCAGTGACACGAGCACGCACGGTGGATTCTCCATCCCAAGGCGCGCAGCCGAGAAAGTCTTCCCTCCTCTCGTAAGAAAACTCTTTTCTAGACTTCTTGGCTTGGGGGACTCTAAAGCTTTCTTTCTCGCCGTTCTTTGCGTGGCTTGTCTAGGATTTCACCAAGCAGCCCCCGGCGCAGGAACTCGTTGCCAAGGATCTCCACAACCAGCAGTGGACGTTTCGACACATTTACAGAGGTAAGTTCGTCTCGTCTCCGCGATGAAAACCGTAAGAGAAATACTCTTTCTCTCTCTCCTGGCGCGCAGGACAACCGAGGAGGCATCTCCTCACGACTGGCTGGAGTGTTTTCGTAAGCGCCAAGAGGTTGCAAGCGGGAGACACAGTTCTCTTCATCAGGTTCGCGTTCCTCGCGCGAGGCGTGTGTGACTCGTGAGCCTGATCTTTCGTTTCTTTCTCTTGTTCTTGATCAGGGATGAAAACAACCATCTCCTGCTGGGAATCAGGCGAGCAAACAGGCAGCAGGCCAACGTTCCCTCCTCGCTTCTGTCGAGCGACAGTATGCTCATTGGAGTCTTAGCTGCGGCTGCCCATGCTGCCACCACCAACAGCCGATTTACGATCTTCTACAACCCGAGGTGAGAGAGAACTTTAAAAATCTTCGTCTTGTCCTTTCGTTCCTAACCTTAATGCTTGTGTCAGGGCAAGTTTCTCCGAGTTTGTCGTCCCCTTCTGCCGATTCAGCAAAGCAACTTACCACCCCCGCGTTACTGTCGGCATGCGTTTCCGCATGGAGCTCGAGACGGAGGACTCGAGCACGAGAAGGTAATCCTCGTTGCTCGTTCTTGCAACTTTAAGTATAAACTCGGCCATCTTTTGCAGGTATATGGGTACGATAACTGGGATTGGTGACCTCGATTCTGTTCGGTGGCCAAACTCTCTCTGGAGAACTCTAAAAGTGAGGAGCATTGCTTTCGCGATTGATCACCAACTTACACAAAAAATCTTGATCTTTGCAGGTTGGGTGGGACGAGTCGACTGCCGGGCAGAGACAAAAACGCGTGTCGCTGTGGGAGATAGAACCACTCACTGCTCCCTACTTCCCATGCACGTCCTCGCTCTTCCTGAGAAAGAGAACTCGACTTGATGGTATGTATGAGTAAGTAGCAAAAATAACAGTTGAGTTACCAGGCTTTCTTTTTGCGCAGGCGAGCTGGACGAGCTGGACGCGATCCGGTCCCAAGTGTGGGCTCGAGCAGAGGACGGGAAGATGGACATCCGTGCACTCAACGCCGCCGGCTTGAGTCTCGAGCACTGGCTTCGTTTCCAGCATAAGCCCGAGGCGGCCATAGCCACGGCGTCGCAGCCGGACTACTACCGAGCCATGGCGGCCCAGGCCCTCCAAGAGTTTCGAAGCGTCGACTCCGCAAAGCAGCAGCATCAGCAACAGCAGCAGCAGCAGCAGCAGCAGCAGCAGTTCGTCACACCAGTTATCCATATGACGCCACAGCAGCAGCAGCAGCAGCAGCAGCAAATACAGTATAGAAGCCAGTTGCCGCAGCAGCAAGTTCTGCAAAGCCATCCTCCACAGCAGCCGATCTTCCAGCCTCAACAATTACAGCAGCAACAGCAGCAACTTCACCACCAACAGCAACAACAGCAATCTTCTCATCATCAGCAGCAGCAACAGCACCACCACCACCATCAGCAGCAGCATCGCCAGCAGCAACAACAGCAGCAACAGCAGCAACAGCAGCAGCAGCAGCAGCAACAACAACAACAACAACAACAACAGCTCCAACTTCAACAGCAGCAGCAGCAGCAGCAGCAACAACAAAGCTATCAGCTGCAAGTCCCGGCTTCTCTCCAGCAAACTGTCCCCCTAGCGTCGAGGCTCACCCCCGGTTTCTCCGAGGACTCTGGAGCGAGCTTTGGCTCCATGCCAGCCAACAACATGTCGCTGCAAAGCCTCCTCAACCGGTCCAACCCAGACGCCTTACTCCAAGAGAGCCAGTACTCGAGCCAACCAGTGGCGGCTGCTCTCAAGCAAAACCAGCTCCCTTTACAGCAGCAGCAGCAGCAGCAGATCCCAGCTCCGGGACTCTTGTCTCAAGAGCCGCAGCTCTCGGGTTCCTGGATGTCGTCGATACGGGACTCCACCGGACCAGCTTCCGCCGTCTTGAGCCCGCGGACGCTCGACTCGTCAGGAAATCCTTACATGGTCCAGCCTTCTCCATCAGGGGGAGCAGCAGCAGCGGCTCATCTCTCGCACTTGCCACCACCACCAGCAGCCGCAGCAGCAGCAGCTCCCACACCACCTTACAGCGTCTACCGGGACGTGTCATCGTCCCACCAAGAGCAAGACGTCCAGTCTGATCTCCGCAGCAACAGCCACCTCCTGTTCGGAGTAAATATCGACAGTCCTCTGATGCTGTCGAGCGCAGCCGCGGCAGTGGCGCAGGGATTTGCTCCCGCCGACAAGGCTAAAGACGTTTCCTTCTCGATGATCGGCTCACCTTCCGGCTCGGACATGCACATGAGTGGAGGAACAGCAGTTGCTCTTGACGACAGTCCGACGAGTTGGCAGCAGCAGCAACACCAGCAGCAGCAACAGCAACAGCAGCAGCAACAAGTCCAGCCTTCTCCGATGAGAACTTTCACCAAGGTGGTAGAAACAAGCCTGCTTTCCTGTGCCAAGCTTGACGAGTTTCCGGCTGTTTATGATTCGCAGGTGTACAAGACGGGGTCCGTCGGAAGGTCCATAGACGTGACGCGGCTCAAGAACTACGAGGAGCTCCGGAGAGATATCGCACGGATGTTCAACCTCGAAGGCCAGCTTCTCATGGACTCGTGTCGATCGTCGTGGCAGCTTGTGTTTGTCGACTACGAGGGAGACGTTCTGCTCGTTGGAGACGATCCGTGGGAGTAAGTGACGCAGCCGTTTCGTAGCCGAGAGAGCTTCTTTCACTGATTGATTGTCTTGTCTCTTTGATGATGCCAGGGAGTTCGTCGGCTGTGTCCGGTTCATCAAGATCCTGTCACCTTCCGAAGTCCAACAGTTGAATCGCGAAAATCTCGAGTCCATAGCTGCAGTCCCCAACCAAAGACAGACGAGCAGCAGCTCTGACGACTGTGCCAACCCCACCAACAACTTTGCTCAGGATCCTCGCCTATCCTATCACCACAGGCCAGACTTCTGTTGATCGCCTCGGTCTTTTCCATACCCAGCCTGCCAAGGAAGAAGATCCTGGTAGCAATTTTGTAAAACACGTCCGTCTGTAAATACTATTAACTTTGTTATTGCTCTTCATATGTAAGCTCCTGGAATGAAGCACCAGGCCAGGAGGACAAGCGTTACAATTAGTCGCACAAAAGCCAGTGGTACCTTCTCTGTTACTTGGACTTGGCAAAATGCTTCTTATCCAGTTTCTCGACTGGTGTGGTTTTCAAGAGAAACAGCCTTGCCGACCTTTCCTTCAAGCTTCCACCGCACTTAAGGCCTCGCTTCTGGAGCTCGGACTTAAGCCGATCCATGCCAAGTGTCTGTAAATCACAGAGCAACCTGTTTAGCCATCAAGTAAAAAAGAAATCCTGAACAGTACATACCTCCAGCTCTTCGGCGCTCTGAAAGTTGTCGAAGCTTAGTTCTTCTTCTATGACCTGAAAGAAAAAAAGAATATTTTTTCCTTTTTAACAATTCCCATTGCTTACCTTTGGCGGTGGCTCCTGGGGAGCCTGGAGATTTACCACAGGCTCCACAGGCTCCACGGGCTTCGCTGTCTCAGCCGGTGACGGGACAGCCTCTGGCGAAGGATTTAATACGCTGGGGTCTTCGAAACTTTGACTACTGGAGGCCCCAGTGTGGATAGGAGGAGGCATCAACTCTTGGTCGCTATCCTTTCCAGTCGACATTCTGGAAAAGGAGACAGAACAAGAATCTCAGAAAAAGCAAACCAAAACACCAGCCAGAAAAACACCAGCCAGAAGAATGGCACGACTTACATTCGAAGTTTCTTGGATGCCATGTCGTCCATGTCGATCTTCTTTCTCTTTCCATCAGTCCCCCGCTTCTTGTTCTTGGCCCGCCTCAAGCCATCCAGCACTGCTTCCTGGACCTCCTGTGACTTTCTCTCCGCCTCTTCACGGAACTTCTTGATATCCTCCGCGGCGGACGACTCATTCTTTAGCTTCTGGCTTTCCTTCTTCAAATAGTCGTGAGCCACCACTTCCAGCTGCCTCAATCCCGCCTCCTCGTTCCACTCCTTGATCTTCTTCTCCCCATTTACATGCCTCAGCCGCCTCCCACTCATGTCTCTACACGCATCGAAATTACTCGTCTTCTTCTGCCCGGCCTTGGTGGCCGCCCCCCTAAGCAGCGAGCCAAATCCTCCCTTCCCGCCCCTCAGGCGCAGCAACACAGCGCACGACGCATCCCTGGACGCCGGCAGAGCCTCGCCCTCGCCAATCTCCCGCGTCCCTGTGACGATCCGCTGGAGCGATGGCGGAATGCCCGCGATCTCGAATACCCTAGCCTTGAGATCCTCGCAGAGAACCCGCGGTGATGCGAATCGCACGCACCTGGTGCTGCCATTGAGAAGCCTTACCAGGATTTGCTGCTCCACGGTCTCCTCTGCCACCGCCATCGCCATTCCTCCACAAACCCTAACTCAAAATAAAAAAATGGAATATCCTTTTTAGGGTTCTATCATAGAAGTATCTCAACGTTTTTAAAGGTATGCGCACTACGATTGAGGACTTTGTTTCGGGTTTTCTAGGGGACAAATCGTTGCTGCCGGTGTGGATTCATCCCAACTTCGAGCTTCTTGAAGAGTACATTGATGCTGTCATTTGAAGCACAGAGAAGGAAGCGCCACCGGTTCGTGGTATCGGCAAGAGGTACTTCGGACACTACTGGTTCTTCAAGCAAGCCAAGCTCAAGCACAGGGTGATATGGAGGACAAATAGTGACGATCCACTGTTTCTCTAGTACGACTTCTCGTTGGATGAGCCCCTGGTGGACGTAACCATGCTCTAGTCGGCTGGACTGAAGCGGGAAAGGATCATACCTGGTTGATTGTCGATGGTGAGTCCAAGGGGATTGCGGGGCACTCCGGGCCAGTTCTGCAGTTCGTGCCGCCAGGTCGTCGTGGTTATCACGAGTTCTCCAAGGACGGTGGCCAGTTTTGTCATCTCGAGGCCTGGAGTTTGGAAGACTTGAGGGCTTGCAGAGCTGGAGTTTGATGATGCGCAATTAGAGAGGCGATTCTATATCTGCAGGGGTATGCCGCGTTTGATATTTGATGACGAGATTTCGCTCAGGCCATTGCACTTTAGGCGACTTAAGATTACAGGGGACATTCCGAGTGAATGGAGAGGGACCACCTCGACGAAAAGAATACTGGTAGGGAAGGCTGGGTTCAATGTTTACGATGATTTTAGTGGGGAGAGAGGACGCAGGAGGATCGGGAATAGCAGGAGGTCTGGCAAGGGTCCCATGTTTCGTGGAGCCATATTCTGGAATTCAGAAGGCTTTCGGTTCATTACTCATGCCAGATATCATCTTCCAGGCGACAGTATCGGGAATCATAAACTCTTTTGGTCAGTAATTTGGGACATCGTTCAGGAGTATGATATATGGCACAAGCATAGGAACCTTCCTGCACCGCCATTTTACAGGTTTATTTTTGTGGTTCCAGAGTCCAAGTTTGATGCTTACGAGTTACAAGAAAAAACGATGGAAATACAGTCTTTTATTTTTAATGGGTTCCATCTAGCCGTCAGATCAAGGGAATGGTAGTTAATACCCATTGTGATTTATATTCCTGTGTTTCCCTTAAGATACGTTGCTCATCAGATCCAAACATTAGTGACTGTTAGCCAGTCAAATTATTAAGCAAGAAGCTGGCCGAATTTACAAGGCAAGATCCAAACACAAGCTCAGTCCTCGAAGTTTCTACCTAGATTATCAGGACTACATAATAAAGTTTCAATGAATAATATTGTATTGGCAAGCCTTCCATCCAAAGAATCTATTTATTTTCTCCTGCCATAGAATATAAAGGTTTTCTAGTTTTTAGAATATTATGAGTCTTTTGGAAAGTTTGTCTCACATTTTGTTTGTTTTGGGCCATTCGATCATGCTGTGAATGTTGCTCGTGGGTTCGCAGAACACTATAGCATAAACCACTTGCAACTTGAAAAGAAAAACATGAGCCATCAATGAGACAAAGATGGCTGTCAAACTAGCGGAGAGACTGCTGAAACAACTATTTATCAGTGTTGTGAGGAAGCTTCAACGGGAAGGTTGCAGCTGTGGACGCATTAGTACCAAAGATTTGGAGCAAGAGCACTTTATTTTTTTTAATGAAAGAAAATGGACCTGCACTTCCCATATCCAAACTATTTTGTCTCGACCACAAGTCATGAACAGCAGGAGCGCTCCATGCAATGCAATCCATTTTCATGCCCCTGAATCAGGATGCCATTAAGCTGAAAAAAAAAAAACGGTGTAGCATTGTAACACACTCTATGGTCTATTAGCATTAGGTATTGTGCCAATATGTTGACAATATTAAAGTACTCTCTGAATTGGAATTGTGTTGAGCTCAATTAGCTACCAATAGAAGATATTTTTAAACAAAATGCATTGCACTCATTTGTTCCAGATGCTAGGATTTAAATTCATATAGAATATAAGAATATTTTAAATTCATACTACATACTATTATTATAGTCTTCAGAACTTAGAACTTATTTTACTTTCTTGCTGTAAATTAATTTTAATTTATACTACATGATTTTTATATCTTATATTTATTAGAAATAAAAATATTAAATTTAAAACAAGATTTTTTTATAATTGATGAACTCAACTTAACTTTGGATTATTCCTTTTGTGATTACTAGAACATGAGAATTTTTTTAAACATGTCAATCATTCTATTCCATTTTTAATTTTTTTTCTTAAAAAATATTACACTAACTTGCAAAACATTTGTCAAAAATGAAAGATGATTAAATTTTAATTCATTTAAATTATGCATATGATCATACATTTTTACATTTTAGATGCACTATAAATCAAAGAAAATGTACTTAGTGTACCTTATAACAATTTATTTCCTCTTTATTTAGTTTATTTTTGGCTATAATAGATTTTCAATTATAAGAAACTAAGATTTTATTTTATTTCTCATACATTTATTAAATATTTTTTTAGTTAATTTCTCAATTTGTACAAGAATGTTATGAAGGCTACAATAAAATCAAAATAATTTAAAATAAATTTTTAAATAAATATATAAATATTTTAAAATTAGTATTTTAACTATACTTTTAACCTTTAAAGGGCCTTATCCTTTAAAATTTTATATATATATATATATATATATATATATATATATATATATATATATATATATATATATATGTAAACAAAGTTTACATGGCATAAAAAAGTGGCTCGAGAAAAACTTAAAACCCCTAGAATGCTAAAAGAGGAAAACAAAGTTTATTTTGAAAAAATGATGTTGTAAACTTCGTTTTCTTGTTATGGGATTCAAAAAGACAAAAATATTTTTTAAAAGAACTAAAGTAAAACAATATTATATATTAGTTTTACAATAAATTTTAAATATCTCAAAAAACTTCTCAATATATTTTATTTTCTTCATTATTTAAATTCATTATATATTACAAAATACCATTATTTAAGCAATGTCCATTGCAATCATTATTATTTGATGTCCATAATAAATTTTATCCATGCTATGAACATTAAATATATATCTAGATTTTAAACATAGCTTTTTATTGTTTACGTAATAATATAAAAGCAATGTGACATTCAATAATCATGTGACTGTAAAGAAATAATTCTTGTTCCTTTGAAATAACAAAAACTTATTAAACTATCAACTTGATAAATTTACCACAGCTATCTATCGACATTAACATAAATAAGATAATAAAATCAACTAAACATTATTTCCAAAAGAAACCTTGTTACATAGAATGGCATTTGATAAAGCAATTATATGTCTTTTAGACCTTTTATTGTACCCAAAAAGGATGAAGTTACAGCATATGCCCAACCTAGGGATTTAAAGTGCTTGAAATGGAGCACAGGTTCAAAAGGAACTTACCTTAGGAACTTACCTTATGGAGCAATGAACTTACCTTGGGTAAATGGATCAAAACAATTCAAACCATTTAACAAATTTTGTACATTCAACAATGCTTTATGTCAAAATTTAATAGATACTAACTGGGAAATATCCCTGTATATCGCAGCCATTTGTACCAAACAAATCCTTGTTTTTCCCTTCCTAAGCGAGCGAGCGAGCGAGCAAGAACGATCGAGAAGTCGACCGAGAAACCGAGATCATACGCATCTGTGAAACTGGTGGCCACCGACGAATCCGCCTTGCATCGATCTCCTCACGTTAGTTTCAAACTGTTTGGGGTTTGTTCTAAGCACCTCAGCGGCTTCCTGATTCAAAGGATCTTCCGGGTTTGGATCCTACGAGCAAACAAACTAAATTGGTATCTTAAGTAGAGAAAACATGGATACTTACCAAGAAGAGGTACTGCAGGCCGTAGATGATCGAGTTTATGCTCAAGACTGGCTTCCAGTCCTCTCGGAGAATGTTGAGACAAACATTTCCTTCGAGGTCGATGTTGGGGTGATAGATCTGCTCAAAACTTCGTGTGAGCAAAGAAAAGAATGTAAAGAGGAGAGAAGACTTACTTTGGTCTTGCATTTTACTTTGGGAGCTTCGTGAGGATAGATTCCCGAGACCTGGAACGTGAAAACAAACAAACCTCCGCTGGAACAATCCAATCGATCAATCGATAGCAACACTCACACGAAAAGAACTTACTGGTAGTAGCCTTCGTCCGGTCCGATAGTTATCTCGAAGTTGAGGAGATCATCCTTCCCGTTGGGGAATCTGATGGACGTAGATTTCGCCAAGTTGAGCTCACTGATATCTAGACAAAGAAAAGAAGAACAAGTTCTTTGTGAATGGATGAAGAAGGTGAGAGAGATTTCGTCGTTTTACCCTTTTGGACGCGCAACTCTCCGGGCGTTTGCTTCTTGCCGGCGCTGGGTTTGCCATTGGCGCCATCGGCAGCTTCCTTTTGCTTCTGCTTGACGCTGAAAAGCTTGATCATTATTGCCCCGGCGCCAAGCACTGGAATCGATCTCTCTCGCCGAAGACCTAAAACCACCGCCAGACCTAATTTGTCCCCCAAGCATTATGAGCGCGATGCCAAGGGTTTTGCTCCACCGTCATTCATCCACTAGAGCGCTGGACTCTCCAGGATCGATCGATAGATATCGGCGCAGGTAGATCGAAATGTTGCTAGATGGATATGTGTTGGCCAGATTATCGATGGTCACGGGGACGATTGATGGAGTGCTTGGAGATGCGATCGCCTGCTAACGTTCCAGTGAGTTTTGTTCTTGAAACATCAAAGGAAAAACCGCTTTTTTCAGGTATGCTACTAGCATTCGAGCGAATCCAGGATGCCTTGCGAAGTTTTCCCCGGAAGCTGATCAATCTAGCACAGAAGCAGTGGCCTCGCGATCGATACACCAGTTACTACAAAATCCAGTTTTTTTCTAGAAAAAAAAAGAAACTAACATTGTGATGGTTCTTCAGGTATGCGTTTCTATGCATTCTAGCGAATCCAGGATGGTTGTTTATTGCGAGTCACACACACACCTCACAGATGCACAGTAAGTGTTTCCAGCACGCTCTCTAATGCTCCGAGCACGCAAACGTGTCTCCTCTTTGCAGGTTATCGAGAATCCCATTCAGGCTGTGCGCCTGGAAGGCGCAGTTCGAGCAAGTTGAGCTCCCATCGCTCACTGAACAAGCCGCGCAGTCCGACGCTCCCTGGTGCTGCACCAAGCAAACCGTGCCAACTTGCTGCTCCCACGACCCCGTGACCACGGTATCCCACTCGTCACCGATCACGACCATGCTACGCTTCATCTCTGGAGAGAGCTGCAAGGACCTCGACCGCAGCGAGCCTCCAGCTCCCGGGCCGCTGAAAGCAACAACAGCAGCAGGTCCGCCGAGCGTTGCCGAGACGAGAACCGCGAGTCCGGCACCCAGGCTATGGCCAGTGAGCAGCAGCGATGCGTTTGGATACGCCTCCACAGCCTGGCGTGTGTAGCTCACACCTTGGGAGACGTAGTCGAGGCTCTGGTTGGAATAGGTGGAGAGGCAAGAGCTCAGGCTGGGAAGCGACACCCTTGGAAGCTCTCCAAACAGGATCCGATCGACGCACAGGTCTGCCTGGGTGGAGGTGCCCCGGAACGCAACCACAATGCGTTTGTGAGCGGAGGTGGTGTCTTCCTCGTACACTAGGCCCCGAGCTCCGGTGTTTGAGGAGGGCTCGAGTGTTGGGACTTTGGGGGATGGCTTCCAGCCGGGGACGGAGGCGGGCGTGGCCGAGAATCCATAGGCGTTGGAGGAGATTGTGACGAGCGGGGAGATGAAGAGTGCCAGGCGCTTGGGATCATACTGTGAGAGCTTGGAGACTTCGTCCCACGCTTCTGGAGCTTCTTCGCTTGGTGGGATTTGTTTGGCTGAGCGGTGGTGGTGATGGCGGGCTAGAAGAACACTGGTAGTAACAATGGCGACCACAACCAAGAGCACGAGCAGGAGAGTGGTGCATTTGCAAACCATGGCTTTGGGATTTTTCTTCATTGGATCAAATTCTCACCTGTGTTCTCCCTGCGGGCCTGAGAATTAGAGATTCACCGGATCTCACCTATCCCCGTTGCCTTTGTCAAAGCTTCCAACTCTTTTTCACTTTATAATGGTCTAGATTTTTCAGCTCTCTCTTGCTTTATAATATCTCGACTCTTACATTTCGAGTCTTCACAACATGAAACTATGGCGCCCATACTATTTTCTTAGAACTGAATTTTAAGATTCACAGATCTCACCTATCGGCATTGCCTTGGTCAAAGTTTTATATCTTATGATCTAGCACCACACTTTTGGATTTCTTAGATTTTCTATTTCTTTCTTTATATTAATCTAGCAGTTTCTTAACAGAAGTTTAAAGATGCAGTTCACAAATTTATAGTTTTATCATCAACTCTGTGCAAAAGCGCAATCTCCAAGCGCTCTTGTTCAGCCTTTGGAATGGATTCTATAGTGAGAGAGAAATAATAAATTTCTAGAATGTTCTAGTATATGCCAGATATTCCTAGTAGTTTTCAACTACTTTTTTTTCGTTGGCTGACTATCGGAGAGGTAATGTTTATTTTAATATCATTGAAAAGTTCTGGAATGCTTTCACTTTTAAAAATCTTTTACCCTCCAGGCCCAATCTTCCTTTGCAGCGCACTGTTCCAAAGTGTAACCTTATATGATGCTTATGAGATATGATTAAAACTGTGACAGAGTATGTTGCGAGTACGTTCTATTTACTTTCAACTACAGTTAACCTTCAAAGTTCTTGACAGCTTTTCCCAAAGAGATGCAAGTTCATAAGGAAATAGAAAAGAATGAAAACATACATTTGTAAAAGTAGTGCTCTCCTTTTGATATGGGATGCATGGAGTATGCAAGTTCGCTGCTGCTAAGTGAGTGACAATAGTGAGAAGCCACAAGCGTTGAGATCCGCTGATCAATAAGCCGGACTGTTGAAGCTGTCTTGTCGAGGCCCTCGGATCCTCCCATACAAGCTAAACGCTGGTGCCTGGTTTGTCTTCGGCAAGAAGTACGCTCCCGGTCCTGGAGAATGAGGTCGCTCTCACGAGAAATCTTACCCCGGATGCTGAAAGATGGAGAGCTCCCTTCACTCTCGACGTTGTAAGCCCCCTGTCCCGGACTCCGGCTAGTCTGCTGGACTGGAACCTTTCCCGGCCTAGTCTCGAGTGGAAAATCATTCCATTCGTTGTTCTTCTTCACCAGGCCATAGATCGTAAGCGATGGACTCGTCCGCTGTGCATAGGACCGTCCATGGAAGATCTCGATGTGTAGGAGCCGGGGCTGGGGGTGTCACGTCCTGATAACTCGAGAAGCTTTTCTGCATCGAGAAGGATGGAGAGGAGCTCATGCGCTGCGGACTGTATGATCCCGGGCCGGGAGAGTTTGGAGTTCTTGGCGAGCTTTGTCTCGACTGCATGGTGAAAGCCGGGCCTCTGGGAAGCCGCACAGAGTAAGTACCGGGGCCTGGAAAATCGCTTTCTCGTGGAGACGTCGCCTTGCCAGTCTCTTGGAAAATATTAAAACATTCAATAACTAGAAAATGTATTTTTACCTTGGCACTATCAGCCAGTGCTGGTAATGGATCACTTGCAGAAGTAGTAGTCCCAACCTTAATACAAATTAATTAGATTAAATAATTATCTTGAAAATTCTGCCAGAATTCGTCCAGCCCGAAAGTTGGTGCGGGTCCTTATCTCCAAAATCGATCAATTAATCAATGCAATAATTTTATAAAGAGTTTTAGCAAAAGTTTCAACATGCAATTCTAAATTGAATTCTTCCTCTATAATTTTGCTCCCGGACAAAAGAGTTAAAGCCACGGAGGCTTGAAAGATATCTGTCTCTTTACTTGCACAGTGAGACTACGATCAATAAATTCTGGCTTCCAGCCCCATCGCAAGACCATGGATCGCCTTGCGCTCGGCCTATCTCTTCTCTTCTCGTCTCTCCTTGTAAGTAGTTCTTTCCAACTTCTATCGTTCAATCGTTACTAAAGCTGGGGATTCCTGTTTGGCAGCTTTCCGAATGCAGTGACATAATCTCCACGAGTTTCGCCGATGAAGCCTCGCCTCTGGGGGCATTCGAATCGGCTCGCTTCGGCGAGCAGATGAGAAGAGGCGTTTTCACGGCCGATGCAAAGCTTTGCCACCGTGCAGGATTTTTTTGTCATCCTTATGGAAGGCATGGAGGCAATGCCCACTTTGGCGATGCTGCAGAGAAGACCGCCCTTGCAGCAAGCAAGCTCGGAGGGAATGCTCACTTTGGTGACTTCCATGACCGTGTACGCTCGCTGGAAGCCAGAGATCTTGGCGGCAATGCACACTTTGGTGACTTCAAAGATCATGGAGCTCTGGGTGGAAACGCTCACTTTGGTGACTTTCATAAGGATCACGGGCTTGGCGGAAATGCTCACTTTGGTGACACTGGATTGGGTGGAAACGCGCACTTTGGTGACTTCAAAGACCACGGATCATTGGGTGGAAATGCACACTTTGGCGACTTCAAAGACCATGACTTGGGTGGCAATGCCCACTTTGGCGATTTCAAATCATTGGGTGGCAACGCCCATTTTGGCGATTTCAAAGACCATGGTTTGGGTGGCAACGCGCACTTTGGCGATTTCAAAGATCATGGTTTCGGTGGTAATGCTCACTTTGGTGACTTCAAAGACCAAAGTTTGGGTGGAAATGGTCATTTCAGAGACTTTAAATACCATGGATCATTGGGTGGTAACGCCCACTTTGGCGACTTCAAAGACCATGGTTTGGGTGGCAACACGCACTTTGGCGATTTCAAAGATCATGGTTTGGATGGTAATGCTCCCTTTGGTGACTTCAAAGACCAAAGTTTGGGTGGAAATGGTCATTTCGGAGACTTTAAATACCATGGATCATTGGGTGGTAACGCCCACTTTGGCAACTTCAAAGACCATGGTTTGGGTGGCAACGCGCACTTTGGCGATTTCAAAGATCATGGTTTGGGTGGTAATGCTCACTTTGGTGACTTCAAAGACCAAAGTTTGGGTGGCAATGCTCACTTTGGCGACTTTAAGGACCATGGCAATGGAGACTTCAAAGGTTTAGGTGGCAATGCTCACTTTGGGGACTTCAAAGACCATGGTTTAGGCGTAAATGCTCACTTTGGTGATGCTTCTCTAGGTGGAAATGCTCACTTTGGTGACCACGGATTAGGAGGAAATGCTCACTTTGGCGATGCTTCTGTCAAACCAAGCACTAGTTGCAAGAAGAACATGCCGCTGTATTTGATCCAGATTTTTACTGAGTACGAGGAAGAGGGTTATGGAGGAAGGAAGTCACTGCACTCTATGGACTGGGCAACCATCAAAGCCTTAATAGCGAAATGCTCCCCTGGAATGCTCCATCACTTCTTCACACTGGAAGAACTCCGACAAAGAAACGGTAAGTCCAAACATTCCTTTTGCAAACTTATCTTCTTACTCGTACTTGTGTAAAATCTTGACAGGAACTGAAAGTGTCCTCCCAAACATCCGTGACACTTATCCTCCACGGGCACTCCTGCCAAGCGCAATGGCTAAGCACACAAACTTCGGTAAGCGGAGCCTTGACTCATACTTGAAAGAGTTTAACGTCCCAAAGGAGTCTCCACTGGCAAGAAAAATGGCTTTCACTCTGGAACTCTGCAATGACAATGCTGGGGGGAAGATGAAGTGTGTGGCTTCCATGGAAGAAATGGCCGAGTTCGTCACCTCCACCCTTGGCCCTGTGGAGATTACCATGGTGACAGGAAGCAAGGCTTTTGCAGCCGAGGTTGGAAAACCTATCAAGCTTGGCGAGGTCAAGCCCATCACGAAAGGCGACACTCTTATGGTCGTCTGCCACACAACTATGTTTCCATACAAAGTTTACTTCTGTCACAAGGTGAGTAGCACCAGCGCTTCCAAAGTAAATGTGAAGACCAGCAGTGGCATGGAGCTCACTCCAAACGTTCTGTGCCACAAGATGGGCAAGACTTATGTTTGTCACTGGTTTGTGGAAACGGTCATTATGTTCGTTCCCACTGCCACTGTCTATGCTTGATTGTATCTAAAAAGCTAATAATGATGATGATGTTAATAATAATAATAATAATAAATTTACGCATTAAAACATTTTTAATAATAATAATACTAATAATCCTAATCATAATACTTATTGGTTTTGGGGTTAACAAAGAAATTATTTGAAATTATTTTTATTTTAAAATATTTTAAAATATTAAACAACTTCATTATTTTTAAACACATTTAAACTAAACATAGTTATGGTAGTCATAACGTACTTTGGACGCGCGGCTGCCACTTGGCCTCGTTGAGGATTCCATTACGTCCAAAGGAGAACTTTCCAGGACCAGGAACTGACGACGTTGTGTCGAGGCCGAGCTCGCCATCCTTCTCTCTCGGCACTCGCCGTTTTGTTCCGGAGGACAAAACAGAAAATCCAGGGCCAGGAGCGTACAGGATCATAGGGAAGCCACACGGCCCGCATTTTTCAATCACTGGCAAGCCCCGAGACTCGTCACCCCGCTCGAGAAGTCAATGTCCCGGAGCCTACAAGTACGAGAATGGAACCATCGGCTATGGTCTACCAGCTTTCACCATCACTGGCAAGGCGACGTCTCCACGAGAAAGCGATGTTCCAGGCCCCGGTACTTACTCTGTGCGGCTTCCCAGAGGCCCAGCTTTCACCATGTAGTCGAGACAAAGCTCACCGAGAACTCCACACTCTCCCAGCCCGGGATCATACAGTCCGCAGCACAGGATGCGAGAAGAGTTATCAGGACGTGACACACCCGGCCCCGGCTCCTACACCTCGAGATCTTCCATGGACGGTCCTTCCTTCAGCATGCACGGCCGACTTAGTAGCCCGGCTTCTTCCACTTCCAGGAGCAGCTCTCCGGGACCTGGAGTGTATACGATCTCTTCCAGGCCAACGAGTCCAAGCCAAAGTTCTTAGGAGGGAGTGGATTCTTTTGAGCTAGATAAAAATTCTTCCTCCACCATCACCATCACTATAATTTTTCTTCCATGGTAGCAATAACAACTTTCTAGTGAGCTCTAGGAACTCTCACACTAGCATGGGAACAAGAGCGCCTCAACTAGAGTGTCAGTGATTAGCTATAAAAGCAAGCAGGATGGTGCTAGCGTCCAGTCCAAGAAGCTCGAGCCTCTAATCACAACCATGGCAGAGAAATCGACACAAAGAACGTTGCGCTAGACACTTCCAGTTTGGTTTCCACAAACTTTGGAAAGCTGGCTACTTTGTGTGTCAGTGTTGGGACTGGGGCTAGGATGGTACTCGCCGAAGTCCCAGCCATCTTCGCCAGCTTTCTCGATGGGAAGCTGGCTTGGCGATGGCAAGAGGTGTCACAGTCCTGGACCGGGAGCACACAACGTAAAGAGGAGGCCGGACTGTCCAGCCTACACAATGTCTCCTCGGTTTAGAGACGCTGCAAAGGACCGGAGTCCCGGGCCAGGGCAGCACAATCTTCCTGGAACTTTTGGTGGTCCGGCTTATATCATGGCACGGCGGTTTAACTCGCCTCCCGGAGCTCACAGCGAAGCCATTTGCTTCTTTGTTTCCATCCTAGGCAAAGGTGCCGGCCCGAGGTGAGAGACAAACACTAGCTGGACCAAGACCGCAGTTGAAGGTTGGTTGAATGCTCATGCAAACGTTCCTGGTCACGGGGTTTATTCCAGCTACAGGCCCGAGCAGCTGCCGAAGAAGAACAAGGAGAAGTAAAAGGAAGTTGGCTACTTCATCGTCAAGGTGAATCCGAAAGGACCGGCTTACAAGATCACAAAGACGGGGACCTTCTTGATGCCGGAACCAGATGATCCGGCTTTCAATCCAGAGAGAGGGGAGTCAGGAAGAAGGGACTCTGGCAATGTAGGCAGGAGAGATTCCAGCTCCAGGAGAAGATCCAGTTTATCTCCAAGGCGGTCGTCGAGTCCTCCACAATCAGATCCAACTCCGGGACCAGGAAGATACCATGACACCGAGTTTCAAACAAACGGTCCCTGGAGAACTATCAAGTCGAATTACGTCCAAAGGAGAACTTTCCAGGACCAGGGACTGACAACGTTGTGTTGAGGCTGAGCTCGCCACCCTTTTCTCTCGGAGGACAAAACAGAAAATCCAGGGCCAGGAGCGTGGCAAGGTGACGTCTCCACGACAAAGCGATGTTCCAGGCCCTGGTACTTACTCTCTGCGGCTTCCCAGAGGCCCGGCTTTCACCATGCAGTCGAGACAAAGCTCGCCAAGAACTCCAAACTCCCCCGGCCCGGGATCATACAGTTCGCAGTGCAGGAGCTCCTCTCCATCTTTCTCGATGCGAGAAAAGCTTCCTGAGTTATCAAGACGTGACACCCAGTTACACCTCGAGATCTTCCATGGACGGTCCTTCCTTCAGCATGCATGGCCGACTTAGCAGCCAAGCTTCTTCCACTTCCAGGAGCAGCTCTCCGGGACCTGGAGCATATACGATCTCTTCCAGGCCAACGAGTCCATCATTTATGCTGTATGGCCCGGGAAGAAGAACAATGATTTTCCAGGGCCCTTTATTAAATTAAATTTTCATTTATGTTTAGCCTTAGAGAGTGTTTTGTGGTTATCAATGGAAGTTATATTAAACTTATTTAAATTAAATTGAAATAAAAAATTAAATTCCATTTTTTATCCTCTTCCACCACTATGGAAGGATGAAAAATTAATAATTCCATTTGTCAGGGAGAAAACTATGACAGAGTTAGATTATAATCTATAAACTAGGGGAGAAATGTCTCTTAAAATGCTATTCCACATATATTGTAAATATGTTTATTCAAAAATAGTGAAAACAAGAAGGATATATAGCTTTATGTATAGTTTAGAAAATGCCAAAAAAGATATAACAATTTACACTTAACTGTGATGTAATATTTTAACATTTGTATAACTTTACATTTTGGGACAATCAAAGTAAAAAGTGGAAAGATCTTTGAGAAAGCTTTTGAGTGTTATAAAATGCAAGAAGAAATCACTTTACAAAATATATAAAAAAAGTTTTTATATATATATTTATTGAGTCAATACACAAGAGTTATAATGATCTCATTAAAATTTGCACATGATGAAGTCAAAGAGCGATAACAACACTCTAAATTTCTAAATAGTTGGTATATTATAGGAGATGTTTAAGTTGGAGGACCGTCCTATGCTTTTGGATAGATTCTCAAGGTCTTTAGCTTGGACACCTGAGACAATGTTTGTACTTTTTGGAGACTCTAATTGGGCGGAAGCCAGAACGTGGACAATAGACGATGTGGAGCAAATAATATTAAATAACACAGAGGGACTTAATTGAGTAGGAAACCTGCTGCTGAAGAATATGAAGAGGTGGTGAACAAGAGGAAACAACATCCTCAATCCCCAAGAAGTGGCCGGCTTGGAAAGAGAAGAAAAATATAGAGCTTCTTCATACCAGCACTAAAAAACAATTGTAAACAGGGACAAATATAACTTCTCATTTCATATTTTTCTTAGCAATCTTGGAGAACGAGGACGCTCCTCACAATAAATCTTCTCCTGGATGCTGAAAGATGGAGAGCTTCTTCCACTCTTGACGTTGTAAGCCCCCTGTCCTGGAGAACGAGGACGCTCCTCACGAGAAATCTTCCCCCGGATGCTGAAAGAGCTTCTTCGGCTTCTCTGCTGGACTGGAAGCTTTCCCCGGATGCTAAACTCCGGACTCACCCGGCCTAGTTTCGGGCAGTACGCTCCGGACCCTGGAAAATCATTCCATTCGTTGTTCTTCACCGGGCCATACATCGTAAATGATGGACTCGTTGGCCTGGAAGAGATAGTATACGCTCCAGGTCCCGGAGAGCTGCTCCTGGAAGTGGAAGAAGCCGGGCTACTAAGTCGGCCGTGCATGCTGAAGGAAGGACCGTCCATGGAAGATCTCGAGGTGTAGGAGCCGGGGCCGGGGGTGTCACGTCCTGATAACTCTTCTCGCATCCTGTGCTGCGGACTGTATGATCCCGGGCTGGGAGAGTTTGGAGTTCTTGGTGAGCTTTGTCTCGACTGCATGGTGAAAGCCGGGCCTCTGGGAAGCCGCACAGAGTAAGTACCGGGGCCTGGAACATCGCTTTCTCGTGGAGACGTCGCCTTGCCAGTGATGGTGAAAGCTGGTAGACCATAGCCGATGGTTCCATTCTCGTACTTGTAGGCTCCGGGACCGGGACTTCTCGAGCGGGGTGACGAGTCTCGGGGCTTGCCAGTGATTGAAAAATGCGGGCCGTGTGGCTTCCCTATGATCCTGTACGCTCCTGGCCCTGGATTTTCTGTTTTGTCCTCCGGAACAAAACGGCGAGTGCCGAGAGAGAAGGATGGCGAGCTCGGCCTCGACACAACGTCGTAAGTTCCTGGTCCTGGAAAGTTCTCCTTTGGACGTAATGGAATCCTGGACTTGATAGTTATCCAGGGACCGTTTGTTTGAAACTCGGCGTCCTGGTGTTCTCCCGGTCCCGGAGTTGGATCTGGTTGTGGAGGACCCGACGGCCGCCTCGGAGATAAACTGGATCTTCTCCTGGAGCTGGAACCTCTCCTGTCTAGATTGCCAGAGTCCCTTCTTCCTGACTCCCCTCTCTCTGGATTGAAAGCCGGATCATCCGGTTCCGGCATCAAGAAGGTCCCCGTCTTTGTGATCTTGTAAGCCGGTCCTTTCGGATTCACCTTGACGATGAAGTAGCCAACTTCCTTTTTCTTCTCCTTCTTCTTCTTCGGCAGATGCTCGGGCCTGTAGCTGGAATAAACCCCGTGACCAGGAACGTTTGCATGAGCATTCAACGAACCTTCAACCGCTGTCTTGGTCCAGCTAGTGTTTGTCTCTCGCATCGGGCCGGCACCTTTGCCTAGGACGGACAACAAAGAAGCAAATGGCTTCGGGCTGTGAGCTCTGGGAGGCGAGTTAAACCGCGGCGCCATGGTGTAAGCCGGACCACCAAAAGTTCCTGGAAGATTGTGCTGCCCCGGCCCGGGACTCCGGTCCTTTGCAGCGTCTCTAAACCGAGGAGACATCGTGTAGCCTGGACCGTCCGGCCTCCTCTTTACGTAGTGTGCTCCTGGTCCGGGATTGTGAGACCTCTTGCCATCGCCAAGCCGGCTTCCCATCGAGAAAGCTGGCGAAGATGGCTGGGACTTCGGCGAGTACCATCCCGGCCCCGGTCCCGGCGATGACGATCCTCCACGCAAAGTAGCCGGCTTTCCAAAGTTCGTGGAAACCAAACTGGATGTGTCTAGCGCGACGTTCTTGGAGCTGGAAGTTTGTGTCGATTTCTCTGCCATGGTTGTGATCGGGAGCTTTAGAGGCTCGAGCTTCTTGGACTGGACGCTGGCACCATCCTGCTTCTCAGAGATCCCACTGCTCCTATAGCTAATCACCGGTACTCTAGTTGACAAGCTCTTGTTCCCCATGCTAGTGTGAGAGTTCCTGGAGCTCACCAGAGAGTTGCTGCTGCTACCATGGAAGAAAAATGGTGGTGGAGGAGGAAGAACCTCTATCTCGTCAAGCTCGCAAAGCTTAGCTCGAAAGAATCCACTCCCTCCTAAAATCTCTGGCCTGGGGACGCTGTTGTGGAGGAGCCTGGGATGAAATACAGTGCTGCCTCGACAAGAAGGATCGCAAGCCTGTGAGAGATTGCCTGCTACTCGTCTCGGAGAGCTTGTGATTCCAATTCCAGCACTGCTCCAAGCGGATCTGGGAGTGGTGCCGCCGCCGCCACCGCCGCCGTCCCAGTTCGTGTCGTGACCACTGCGCCAAAGAGCTGGCAGTTTGATCATCTTTGCTACCCAAGGCGCCCATCAATGGGGCTTTTTTTCCACAGATTGTTCTTCCTATCAGAGGTTCTTGATGAAATGGATTGAATCGAAGCCGAGAGAGCCGCAAGAATCTCACCTGGGATCATCCGCGACGGCCGCAATGCGAACAGCGCTCCTCCTAGGGCTTTTTGGGCGGGAGTGCAAGCGCTGCGTAAATGCCGACGTGGCAAAAGCTTAGAACCCTAAAATCTTCTTTCTTTCTAGGGCTTTTGGTCTCGCGACGATGCTGAAGAGAAAGGATTCGATGGCGAGGAACGAGGGCGAGAAGATGGAGATTATGCCTCTGGGAGCTGGAAGCGAGGTCGGCCGATCGTGCTGCCACATGACTTACAAGGGAAAGACGATTCTGGTGAGTGGATTTCGAGATTTCTTTCTTTCGAGCAAGGAAATGTGAAATGTGAGTGCTTACCTGCCCAGTTCGACTGTGGAATCCATCCCGGGTACACTGGAATGGCCGCGTTGCCGTATTTCGATGAGATTGATCCGTCGACAATCGACGTGCTGTTAGTAACTCAGTAAGGATTTTCCTTTTCGTTTCCTTTTATTGTTCTACTCTTCGTGATCTCTGTTCCAGCTTTCATCTCGATCACGCGGCCTCGCTTCCATATTTTCTGGAGAAGGTACTTGAGTTCTCTTTTGCGAGGCTGGTTTATAAAGTTTTGTCTCTCAGACCACATTCAAAGGCCGAGTGTTCATGACACACGCAACCAAAGCCATTTACAAGCTTTTGCTCACGGACTATGTCAAGATCAGCAAAGGGTCTGTCGAAGACATGCTGTATGACGAGCAAGACGTGCTGAAAACCATGGACAAGATCGAGGTATGTGTGGTGCTACCTGAGATCACATCACTTACGGTGCTTACAGGTTATAGACTTTCACCAAACTATGGAGGTGAATGGGATACGCTTCTGGTGCTACACCGCGGGACATGTCCTCGGGGCAGCGATGTTCATGGTGGATATAGCCGGTATCCGGGTCTTATACACAGGAGACTACTCCAGAGAAGAGGATCGCCACCTCAAAGCCGCGGAAATGCCAGAGTTTTCTCCAGACGTCTGCATCATAGAGTCGACTTATGGCGTTCAGATTCATCAGCCGCGACACGTCCGGGAGAAGAGGTTTACGGAGACTATAGCACAAACCGTGTCTCACGGAGGCAGAGTTCTCATTCCGGCTTTCGCTCTAGGACGAGCACAGGAGCTTCTGTTGATTCTAGACGAGTACTGGGAGGCTCACCCGGAGCTGCAACACATCCCGATCTACTATGCTTCACCGCTAGCCAAGAAGTGCATGGCGGTCTATCAGACTTACATCAATTCCATGAACGACAAGATCAAGTCTCAGTACGAGAACTCGAATCCCTTCAACTTCAAGCATATCTCTCCTCTCAAGAGCATCGAGCAGTTCGAAGATGTCGGGCCTTCGATTGTTATGGCTAGTCCAAGCGGTTTGCAGAGCGGGCTCTCTCGTCAGCTATTCGACCGCTGGTGTCAGGACAGGAAGAACGCTTGCGTGATACCGGGTTACGTTGTGGAAGGGACACTTGCAAAGACTATACTCAACGAGCCGAAGGAAGTTGCCCTCGTCAGTGGCCTCGTAGTTCCGCTCAACATGAGGGTGGTGTACATCTCTTTTTCGGCACACGCGGACTTTGCTCAGACCAGCGCCTTCTTAGGGGAACTAAGGCCTCCGCACATTGTTCTCGTTCATGGAGAGCAGAACGAGATGGGCCGTCTAAAGGTCAAGTTACAGGCGCAGTTTGCAGAACAAAACGTCAAGATAAACTCGCCAAAGAACTGCCAACCCGTGGAGTTTTTTTTCAAAGGAGAGAAAGTTGCAAAGGCTGTTGGTAGGCTGGCGGAGAAAACACCAGACGAGGGGGGCGCAGTGAGCGGCCTGCTGATCAAGAAGAGCTTCACGTACCAGCTGATGGCTCCGGACGACCTTCATGTTTACACACAGCTTTCCAGGGGCAGCATCCAGCAGAGGCTCTCAGTCCCATACGACGGCGCATTTGTTGTGCTGCGACACAGGATTGAGCAGATGTACGACGGCGTGGAACACGTTACAAAGGCCGAGAGCCAGACACTGAGGATCCATGACAAGGTGACGATTTCTCAGGAGTCAAACGAGCATGTGGTCCTCCAGTGGGTGTCCGATCCAGTGAGCGACATGATAGCGGATTCAATAATTGCGATCATCACGAAGATGGATCCTCGCTTGCTGACGGACGCCAATGGTCTGCCGAAGATTGAGGAGGATCTTACGGTTGTCCAGTCGCTGCTCACGTCTTTGTTTGGAGACGTCAAAGTAGACGAGGAAGGGAAGAAGCTCGTGATTTCTGTGGACGGAGTTGCTGCCACTGTGGACTACACCAGCCGCAGCGTCGAGTGTGACGACGACAATCTCAAAGAACGCATCAAATCTGCTCTTCACAGAATGCATAATGTTCTACACCCTCTGGCGATTGAAAGCTGATCCAACACACCTGGTCCTTCATGTGCTCGGTACGTTTTGTGATCATCATCGCAGCAACAAAATCCATGACTTTTAAGGTACGTTTTTTTCTGTTTTCTAGACTAAGACGGGATAGCGACGCGGTGTTGTTTGATCTTGCAGTCTGGAGTTATGCGCCCGACCCCGACTTGCCGACTTTTTAAGATCTGGCATGGTATCGTTTCTTACTCAACCGGCACCTTTCACCATCTGTGCAAGATCATAAGCTCGTCGTTGCTGACCTGTGTTGATGTTCTCGACAAGTGTTTTTTATATTCGAAGAGGTGGGGAATTATGCTTACAACCACAAACGACTGCCGCTGCACTGGTGTTTCACACTACTCCAGATTAAAAGATAAAAAAACGAAGGAAAAGGTATGTCTTTTAAACTTCCGTCAGGAGAAACGCATTTTGATATTATTGTTCATTCCTGTCAATGCAGCGCAGTGTTGGCGCGTTGGTTTCCACCACCATCGCATGGACTGCGGACTGGAAACTCTCGTGAAGCCCATGAAGTGGAATCCGACGGCATTCAGGCGTCGTCTAGTGGAGTTACAGGTAACTTTCTTCCCACCTAGCAATGTTCCAGCAGATGCTTCGCTTTTGGATCCTCCGATTTGGGGCCCCGGAATGTAGGAGTGCGTTCCGCGACGCGGTCAGAGCGATATCCGGAAGACTGGACGGACGGCTTTTCTTTTCCACAGGTGAGCTGTGCTGTGTCGCTTTGTTTCATTCCAAGTGAAACTTATCTCGTTTTGCGGTGCTTGTTTCTGTAGGAAAGAAATCGTAGCGAGCACAGCACAAGAGGTTCTCTCTATAATGGTAGAGATGCCAGAAGCTCCAGAGGGACTGCCAGGAGGTATAATTTTTGGAGCAGTGGCACTGTGGCAGTAGCTCACAGGGCAGGCCAGGCCAACAAGGAAAGCATCTGTGTTGGAAATGACGCTGAAAGGATTGGATTTATTCCTTCGTGCTCGAGCACATGGATGAAAGAGGTCGACGGGTATGGAAAAAAGAAGATGGTATATACAAATCTAAGCTCTAAGATCTAAGATCTAATGTAATGTCCAGGGATCGATCTGGAAGTTTGGGAGAGAGGATAAAAAGATATCATACTACTACTTCAGAGTACATTATAGTTACGTCTAAAGATATTCTTCCATTCCAGACAGACAAAGAAGGGATTGTGCTTTGCTTGGAGAGAGATCCTTTGGGAAAGATTCGAACCGGCGACCTCGGCGCTAGCAATCATGGGATCTCCACAATCTCCGACAGTAATTAGCAGCAGTTGTTTGCTCTAATTGCCCACGCTAACGGGCAGGGTAGTGAAAGTTTTGGATTGGTCCGGTCAATTTAGTTGGGTGCGAGCCACTGTGGACCAGACACGTGTCACCACCCGCTGGTCCCTGTCGCAGCGGTGGGGGTTTTTATTTTTTACTGTGGTGGCGTAAATTCAAATCCAAGGCCAGGATCAACGGCTATCAATGTTTCACCGTTGACGGTTTCATCCGGCCCGTCAACCATGAGAGGACCGGCCGGCCTTCAAATCTTTTTACCCGCCCGCAGTAAAATCGTTTGCTGGTTCGGAGCTCGTGCCTCGGTGCCGAGCCTGGCCCGAGCTTTTGGCTATGGCTGTATTTGGAAATAGTTTTTATTTTAGTGTTCTGTGCATAGGGTTTGTGTGGTGTGTGGAGAAAATGTGAGAAGAGGATTGCTCGGGGATCTCGTCTATCTGCGAATCGCGAGAATGTCTGGATTCTAGGATGGTGAAATTTCGTCACAGATGACTACGCCGCGGCTGGATTCAAGAAAATTCTCCGGGAATCGGCAGCGCGAGCTCGGCGATGATGAATCGGAGGAGCAGCAGCAGCAGCATCGGGAGCTTTGCGCCGTGGGAGACCTTCCTCATCAGCGAGCACGCGTCCAATCTCGGCAAAGCGGGAGAGATTTCTTTCCTCCCCTGCCATGTCCAGCAGCAAGTAAGCGTCTTCCCTGAGAGCCGATCGACTCAATTTGCTGAAATGCTGCTCGATTGATGGCCCTGCCAGGCGAGCTGGATCGCGGGGAAGCAATCCGCCGGCGCGCTTCCGGGATCCTGGGTGAGTTTCTTCTGTTTGTTCGCTAGTCTCTAGTCCGTGCTTTTTCTTGCGTTTGGCTTATTGTGGCTACTGGCCAACACTGACTAGGCCTTCTGCCAAAAGGATGAGGTGATGGATCGTGGACGCGTAGGAAATGGTCAGAGGTACTACTCCTGGTTGAATTAGCTCCATCTTTTCATCTGTTCTGGTGTTGACTCTCATCCTCTCTTGTCTTGCCTCTCTCACCAGCGTCCTCCTCGAGAATCAAAAAATGATCCATCAAATGTCCACGGTATGGTTCTTCTAGCTATGGATGCTTTTGCTTCCTTCTAAGTTCTCATCGATGGCTTTGTATTGCTTGCACAGGTCGTGGACAAGACCGATTTCGAGGCTGTCAAGAGGGAGAGTTTGCGTGTGCATCGCTCCAGGCTCGAGTTTGATGTGAGTAGAGCTGGAATTTGGATGAACAGTCTGGTCTGATCGAATGTTTTCGCCACAAATTCTGAAAATCAGGTGTCCAGGCTCGAGAAAAGGCTGCAAGAGGAGCGCGATTTGCACTGCGCTTACACGACCGCCCACGAAAACGCGATGGAAGCCATCTCCAGTCTCCCCAGTCATCTCCCAGTCAGTGTACGTATGCAACGGTGACTCGTTACTCACATTAGAAAAGTGCTGACGAACGCCCGTTTGAATTCTTCTCCAGGCACAGAAACTTCTCCTGGATGTGGCCACGCTCGAGTTCTCTGTTTCCAAGCTAGAGGAACAGATGCTGACTCTACAAAGCCAAGTTTTCAAAGAGCGGTCCGCGTATGAAAAGTCCCAATCGACGCTGCAAGGTTTATCACAGACGGTGACCGAGGAGGAGCCTGGCACTCAGGCATCGTGCTTATCTCCAAGCTCACAGGGCTCGTCATACTTAAAGCCTGTCGCGAGGGGCCGACCACCATCGCCAGCCACACCAGCCGCCGTAGAGGCCTTTAGCGATCAATCAAGTGGCGCTTCAACAGAGGCAAATGGTGATCATCAGGCGGGCGAGAAACATCATAGCTCGGAGGACGTACTCACTCTCGAGGATTACAGAAAATCTTCCGCGGACGAAGAGAGTGAGTGGCGGTTGCGGAATGAGGAGGAGCAAGCCGTGACGACTTCTGGAAAGGTAAAGCTCGTTTTTAAGTACTTCACGTTTTCTGTTGGGCTCATTTTCAAACTTTGGCGCTCTGTGTTAGTGGGAATCAAGGGACGTGTCAGGCAATCTAAACGACTGCGGCACAGAAGCTCCCCCGGTGGAAGATATCGTGGCGGAATCTCTCGTGTCGGAAGCGCTTTGGCGATATCCCAACAGCTTGTCAGAGCAGATGGTGCAGTGCATGGTGGATATTTATCACCACCTTTCCGGCCGTTCGACGGCACACTCGAAATCAATTCCCCGGGACATGCCATCGCCAACATCGCCGTTTGCTCATCTGGTCTCATCATCACTGTCATCGGTATCGGAGTCGTCATTCGTATCCTTCGCGAGGAGCCCGCTTGTTGATTGGAGAAACAAAGTTGGAGTTGCGGGACAAGACAGCGTCTTCGATCCATACACCATGGAAGGAAAGGTTATGCTGCCAGAGATTGGAGCGTATCAGACAGCCGCCGAGGTTTCGTGGATCTCCGTGGGGAAAAAACAGCTCAATTATGCTGCCGGCGCACTTCAGAGATTCAAGTGAGTACCGTTGCCCATTCTAGTCTTCTTTTTCGGCTTTTCTGACGTCGAAAGTCTTGCAGATTATTGGTGGAGCACTTATCAAGAGTAGACCCGAGCAGCATGAGGCATGTGGAAAAAGTTGCCTTTTGGATCAATGTACACAACGCGTTGATGATGCACGTAGGTTTCTACACCGTTTGGTTCTCCGCTTCTTGTTGTGAGATCACGAATTTGTCTATGCAGGCATTTCTTGCCTACGGAACACCTGATAGCGAAGCGAAGTACTTCACTCTCATGCAAAAGGTATGTATGTCGTAGCAGTTTCATATAGAGTAAGCACTAAACAGCTAAATCCCGGAATGCCTTCAATTCTTGTGCAGGCAAGCTACGTAATTGGGGGCCATTCATTTAATGCGATCACTATTGAATATGCGTTTCTAAAATCCCGGGCATCCACATATCGGCCTCAACTGGTATGTGTCTAAGCAGTGTCTGTTTCTTAAATTTAATTTCTTTTTCTTGCAGGAGTTGCTTTTGGCACTAAAAGAGATCAACCTGTCAGAGCAGCAAACGAAGTTTGGCATATCTCATGCAGAGCCTCTGACGCTGTTTGCGTTGTCGTTTGGTGCTTGGTCGTGCCCAGCGGTATGCAATGCAGTCTCGCTAATCCTTTCCTCGACATCTTTAAGAGATCCATTGATTTCTTTCCTTTCCCAGGTACGAATATATACAGCGGAAACAATCTACGAGCAACTGGAGGTATCTCTACGCGACTATCTGCGAGCATCCGTCGGGATCAACCACAAGAGCAGCAAGCTCATGGTTCCAAAGCTGCTCTACGCTCACGTTCGCGAGACGCAGGGCAGCGAGGTCTCGCTAGCCGACTGGATCTCCGCGCACTTGTCCAGCTCCCAGCTTCGTTTCGTCATGAGCTCTTTGAAACGGCGAAAGCAGCGCGGCCACAGCGCAGTCCAGGTTCTTCCATTTGATTTTCGCTTCCGGTATCTCTTTCTCGCTGAGATCTAGCTAGCTGAAAGACGAGGACTCGCAGTGGTCGGAAAATCACACCCGAGAGTAGGAGAGGAAACGCTGAGCTCCAAAAATTTTTGCTCGATCGATCGAACGATCGTTTAGACCGAAGCTAGAGGAAGTCGACACTCCCAATTCTTTGAGCGCGTGGATCGTGTAAAAGAAAGCTCCTTAGGATTTGTACATACAAGTTGGCGGGAAAATCTCAAAAATCTAAATAAAAAATGTGCAGCTTTTTCAAAATTCAAATCTTTGAATTCAAATTGTGGAGGGAGGATTCAAAGTTTGAAGATTTTTCTTGGTAGCACCGACAGGATATACATGCCTACATAAAGAATGGGCGGTAGTTTTGTACGGTAGAGCCACCACGTAGCGATACTTGGCAACATGGGAAAAAACCCAAATTTAAATTCAAACAAGAGATAGTCCAAACAATTCCGCGCCATCGCGCAAATGCGACAAGAAAGAGTCCTCGCGTTCCAACATTGACGGAGCGTCTCTGCTACTAACGGAGAGAAAATCTTAGGAAAAAGAGAGAGATCTCGAAAGAACATTAGTGTGACTATCGATCGATCCATCCCAACGAGCTGAGAGCTAAGAAACAAAAGGCTTTGATCGAGAAAGCGTACTGGGAGAATTTTTGGGCGATGGAATTCGAGCGAATGAGCTACTCCTCGGCTGGAGGAGCTTCTCCTCCAGCGCCCTCCTCGCCCTCGGGCGGCGGCGGCGGCTTCTCCTCCACTGGCGGGGGCGGCGGTGGCGGTGGCGAGTGAGCGCAGTGCGAGCAGATCGGCTCCGGCGGAGGCGGCGGCGGCGGTTTCAAAGGATCGTGATCGATGAGGAACTGGCCTAGATATCCCACTGGATTCGAGGGCCTATGCGAAGTTTCTCCATGGGGTCAATCGAGATAGAGCTAGAGCTTTCGTTCCTCCCACAATGTGGGACGAGATCAAACACTCAAGGAGGAAGGATTCGCTTACCTTTCGATGAGCAAGTGCTGCAAGCCTCTAAACACAACTTGTACCACATTGGCATCCTGGAAGAGAGAAACCCATCAAATTTCCGCGAAGATCCGAGCGATTATCGGGAATTCACCAAGTAGACGCGATGCTGATTCTGGAGAGTCCTCAATTTCATCCATACGTTCACGGATTCCTGCTTCTTCTCGTCCCCCATCTCCGCACTCTGTGCTTCCCGCGCCTCGAATTTAGGGCTGACTCAAAACGGCACGCCCGTCTCAGCGCGCCACGTGTGAGACGGAATATGCCACGGCACATCCCGCTAGCTCTTTCTTTTTTTTCCCCAGGAATAAAATAGAGGAGCGTAGGACACCGCTCCCTTCCAATCGCGAGGAGAGATCCCACGCTCGATCGCTCAATTGATCGCGGGCGCCGCATGCAGCAGCGATCCGGGGCACGGATCGACGAATTCGACGCGGCTGTAGGTCAAATTTCGCGGCGACAGGGTTGAATCGGGCAGGATGAGCTACCAGGACTTGGATTTGGAGCGCGGCTACCCGGCCAGGAAGGGCGATGTGCTGAATGGGGGCCAGGATCCAAGCCAGGCGGTGGCGTCGGGGGTTTTCCAGATCAACACGGCCGTGATGAGCTATACGAGGCTCATGAACCAGCTCGGCACTGCCAAGGACACGCCGGAGCTGCGAACAAAGATGTGAGTGGAATTCTGGAATTCTTCTTCCACGTACAAACCTTTTTTTTTTTTTGTTCTTTCTTTCATCCATAGGCACAAGATGAGGCAACACATATCACATTTGATCAAGGAGACGGCCGCGAAGCTCAAGGCTGTCAATGAGACCGATCGCACACAGCCAGTCAGTGTAAGTGGGATCTATCTCTTTGTTCTTCTTGTTCCTTCTCGGTGGTTTTTTCTTTCCATGATGGAACTTAAGAGATATGCGTTGTGGTGTTCTAGGCCTCGACGAAAATGAAGGATGCGAAGCTTGCCAAGGATTTCCAGAGGGTTTTGCAGACGTTTGAGCAGGCTCAAAAGATTAGCAAGGAGCGGCAGACTGTGTATGCGCCATTGGTTCCTGAAGTGCTTGGAATGGAAGGGTATGTTTTTCCTCGTCTTTCTGCTTTCTCGAAAGCTGGCTGATGGTGTTCTTGTTTTCTTCGTTCCAGCGCCAGTCCGGATGATGAACGTCGAATTCTACTCGCCGAGCAGAGACGGTGAGAAGATCCAAACTTGTTTCCAAGTACCTTGTATGATCTTTCTTTTGAAAATACGCAGGCAGGAAGTGTTGCAACTAGACAACGAGGTTACTTTTAACGAGGCTGTGATTGAAGAGAGAGCGCAAGGCATCAGAGAAGTCCAGGAACAAATCGAGGAAGTGCACGAGATCTTCAAGGATCTTGCGGTAATGGTACATGAGCAGGGTGGAACAATCGGTAAGCTTATCGTTTTTGTCTTCTCCCTTCCATAACATTTCTTTACGTCGTTGCTTCGCCAGAGGAGATTGATTCCCACGTAGAGAACAGTTACGCTGCTACAGCGCAAGCGAATAAGCAACTCTCAAAGGCTTCGAAGAGCCAAAAGTCCGGCAATACTTTGGTAAGAGAGATCTCGCTTCTCAATACGTTCTTATATTCTTCGTGCCTTTGTTTTGCAGAGCTGTTTGCTCATGGTTATTTTTGCGGTGGCTCTGGTGATTGTAATAATCGTGCTCGCGGCATGATCAAAAGAAAAAGGATGAACATTCAAGCTCATCCCATCAAAAAATTCTTATAGGTATATAGAAAAGTATGATACTGATTTGCTTCTGTAGCGGGCCTTGTACATGGGAGTTTCAAAGAGAAAACCGAGAGCTAGTGTAATTACATTCATCTATTTATTCTTCTTACAAGCATTGATTGGGAGTGTTTTGATCGATCTATGGACGCTGGAAGGAAAAAACACTATGATCTCAAACTTGGTCAGTAAGAAGTTTGCGAGCTTCACTCTCGACGTTGTCTACCGTGAAGCCAAATTTCTTGAACACGTCCAGGTAAGCTCCACTCTTTCCAAACGAGTTCACCGCAAGAACCCGGCCATGGAAGCCAACGTACTCTCTCCATCCAACCGGCGAGCCAGCCTCCACGCTCAATCTCTTCTTCACGCTCCTCGGAAGAATCTCATCCTTGTACTCGAGCGGCTGCTCGTCGAACAGCTCCCAGCTAACCAGCGACACCACTCGGACCTTGAGTCCATCGTTTCGCAGCTTCTCGGCCGCTCCCTCGCACAGGCATAGCTCGGAGCCTGTTCCGATGATAATGAGCTCGGGATCGCTGCCGCTGGAGGAATTGTCGCTGACGATGTAGCCTCCCTTCTCAACCTTGTCAGCCGAAGTTCCTGCTACGTGAGCCTGGACTTTCTGCCTGGAGAGTGCGATCACGGTCGGGCCTGAATCTCGTCTTCTCACTGCCACTTTGTATGCTCCGCTGGTTTCGTTGCCATCAGCCGGGCGTAGAACGACCAAGTTTGGGATCGCTCGAAGTCCCACGAGCTGTTCTACTGGCTGGTGCGTCGGACCATCCTCACCCAGGCCGATGGAGTCGTGCGTGCAAATGTAGATCACGCCGGCTCGGCTGAGAGCTGAGAGCCTCATGGCGTGTTTCATGTAGTCGCTGAAGGCTAGGAACGTTGCCGCGAACGGGATGAGACCGCTAGAGTGGAGAGACAGGCCATTGGAGATCGCTGCCATTGCGTGCTCACGAATTCCATAGCGGACGTTTCTTCCCCACGGAGTCTTGTGTTGGAAATCATCGTAGTCTTTGAGATAGGCCTTGTTTGATGATGCTAAGTCTGCACTGCCGCCAATCAGTCCAGGAATCACAGTAGATAATGCGTTGAGGCATTTCTCCGAGTAGCTTCGGGTGGCGTCCACAGGATCTGATTGAGACCATGTCTATAAAACAAACAAAAACGTGAGACACGAAACAAAACTACTAAGTGAAGTGAAACACAAAAAACTTACCGGTAAGACTTTTTCCCATCCCTCGGAAATAATATTTCCAAGAAGCTGTTTGAACTCGTTGGCCTCGTTAGGAAATTCCTGCTCGTACTTGGCAAGCTCTATGTTCCACTCCTCTTCTATGCATTCTGCTTCCTTGGCCTTTTTCTTGAACTCCCTGGAACGAAGCTTAGTCAAGACGCAATGAAGATACTCGACTTACTCGTAAACCGTGGGTACGACATAGAAAGGCTCTCTTCCCTCCCAACTAAGAGCCGCTTTGATGCCTTCCACGTCTTCCTCGTCAAAAGTTCCGTGATGTGCTTTAGAAGTTCCTTGTTTCTTAGAAGGAAAACCGATTGAAGACTTTACCTGAACAAAATGCGGCTTAGCAAACGAAAGCAATAAGCATTCTCACGATACTCTACCTGGATTAATGTTGGTTTCTCAGTTTCCGCGAAAGCTTCGTCTAGAGCTTTAACAAACTTTCCAGGATGCTCGTGGATATCTTCCACAAGAATCGTTTGCCATCCTAGAGCCCTGTATCTGCCAGCCACATCCTCCGAGAACGCAAGCTCTGTATCACCATCAATCGTATTATGATTGTCATCGTAAATGACTGTGAGCTTGTCGAGTTTCCAGTGCCCGGCTAATGAAGCTGATTCGTTTGAAATGCCCTCCATAGCGCATCCATCTCCCATAATGCAAAACCTGTAAAAATTGATGTTTGTGATAAGATCCACGAGTTGTTTCCTTACGTTCTGTGGTTAACGATATCATGTCCCGGTTTATTGAATCGTGCTGCTAGATGACGTTCCGCTAACGCTAGTCCCACAGCATTTGCTACTCCTTGTCCAAGAGGACCTATAAACCAAAGAAGAAGAAGCAAGAAATCAATAGCATCAAACCAGACTGAAAAAAATCATACCAGTTGTTACTTCGATACCAGCAGTCTCAGAATTTTCTGGGTGGCCTGGAGTACGTGCTCCAAACTTACACAGGCGTTTCAAGTCCTCCATCTAAGAAGAAACAATCGCAGGCTAAGAACAAACAAGAAAGAAAGAAAGAAAAACCTCAAACCTGGACAGATTCAAAGCCTGCTAGATGAAGACATATGTACTGAAGAAGGCAGCCATGGCCAGCGCTAAGAACGAAGCGATCGCGATTAAACCATCCAGGATTTCCTGGATTGTATTTCATCACCTTCCTGTAGAGCGTGAATCCAACCTCGGCCATTCCCAGAGGCATTCCTGGATGCCCAGCCTTGGCATTGTTGACGGCATCCACCACAAGCATGCGCATATTTTGGACGCATCGTCGATCGATCTGTTCCTGGAGCCATTCCTTGTCGCGAGCGCGTCCATTTGCCTTGGATTCATCCCACACCCTTGATCCAAGTATCATCTTCAGCTCATCCTCCCACACCTCCACAGACCCTAGCTCCGATTCTTCCCGGAATTCCTCCCTCGCTGTGTCCACGGATCTATCGTGCGTCTCCCGCGGCTCGATATCGAGCGCCGTGGATTTCCGGATGGACTCCTTGACCTGATCCCTCTGCTGGGACGAGGCGCGAACCTGGAGATGGAGAAACCTGTGCCTGTGAGCTCCCGCCGGCGATCGAGCGAGAAGAAAGCGCCCGGCCCTGGCATTGTAAATCGAGGACGAAATCGAGAGAGAGCCCGTCGATGATGCTGTGAGGGACGCCATTGCTGCTCTCTCGAGCATGAAAGACCTTCCATTCGAAATATAGGGCTTTAACAACAAACGTGGCAAGAGCCAACAAGGCCAAGTGGCAGCCGCGCGTCCAAAGTACATATTCACTGGTTATGACTACCATAACTATGTTTAGTTCTATATGTGTTTAAAAATAATGAACTTGTTTAATATTAAAAAATATTTTTAAAATAAAAAAATTTAAAATAATTTCTTTGTTAACCCCAAAACAAATAACTATTATGATTATGACTATTATTATTATTATTATTATTAAAAGTCCAGAAGAAAGAATCAGATAGAATAGATGTTTTAATGGGTAAAATAAGCATATTATTATTATTATTATTATCATCATCATCATCATTATTAATATCATTATTAGCTTTTTTAGATCCAATCAAGCATAGACACTGGCAGTGGGAACGAACATAATGACCGTTTCCACAAACCAGTGACAAACATAAGTCTTGCCCATCTTGTGGCACAGAACGTTTGGAGTGAGCTCCATGCCACTGCTGGTCTTCACATTTACTTTGGAAGCGCTGGTGCTACTCACCTTGTGACAGAAGTAAACTTTGTATGGAAACATAGTCGTGTGGCAGACGACCATAAGAGTGTCGCCTTTCGTGATGGGCTTGACCTCGCCAAGCTTGATAGTTTTTCCAACCTCGGCCGCAAAAGCCTTGCTTCCTGTCACCATGGTAATCTCCACAGGGCCAAGGGTGGAGGTGACGAACTCGGCCATTTCTTCCGTGGAAGCCACACACTTCATCTTCCCCCCAGCATTGTCATTGCAGAGTTCCAGAGTGAAGGCCATTTTTCTTGCCAGTGGAGACTCCTTTGGGACGTTAAACTCTTTCAAGTATGAGTCAAGGCTCCGCTTACCGAAGTTTGTGTGCTTAGCCATTGCGCTTGGCAGGAGTGCCCGTGGAGGATAAGTGTCACGGATGTTTGGGAGGACACTTTCAGTTCCTGTCAAGATTTTCCACAAGTACGAGTAAGAAGATAAGTTTGCAAAAGGAATGTTTGGACATACCGTTTCTTTGTCGGAGTTCTTCCAGTGTGAAGAAGTGATGGAGCATTCCAGGGGAGCACTTCGTTATTAAGGCTTTGATGGTTGGCCAGTCCATAGAGTGCAGTGACTTCCTTCCTCCATAACCCTCTTCCTCGTACTCAGTAAAAATCTGGATCAAATACAGCGGCATGTTCTTCTTGCAACTAGTGCTTGGTTTGACAGAAGCATCGCCAAAGTGAGCATTTCCTCCTAATCCGTGGTCACCAAAGTGAGCATTTCCACCTAGAGAAGCATCACCAAAGTGAGGATTTACGCCTAAACCATGGTCTTTGAAGTCCCCAAAGTGAGCATTGCCACCTAAACCTTTGAAGTCTCCATTGCCATGGTCCTTAAAGTCACCAAAGTGAGCATTACCACCCAAACCATGATCTTTGAAATCGCCGAAGTGCGCGTTGCCACCCAAACCATGGTCTTTGAAGTCGCCAAAGTGGGCGTTACCACCCAATGATCCATGGTAACCATTTCCACCCAAACTTTGGTCTTTGAAGTCACCAAAGTGAGCATTACCACCGAAACCATGATCTTTGAAATCGCCAAAGTGCGCGTTGCCACCCAAACCATGGTCTTTGAAATCGCCAAAATGGGCGTTGCCACCCAATGATTTGAAATCGCCAAAGTGGGCATTGCCACCCAAGTCATGGTCTTTGAAGTCGCCAAAGTGTGCATTTCCACCCAATGATCCGTGGTCTTTGAAGTCACCAAAGTGCGCGTTTCCACCCAATCCAGTGTCACCAAAGTGAGCATTTCCGCCAAGCCCGTGATCCTTATGAAAGTCACCAAAGTGAGCGTTTCCACCCAGAGCTCCATGATCTTTGAAGTCACCAAAGTGTGCATTGCCGCCAAGATCTCTGGCTTCCAGCGAGCGTACACGGTCATGGAAGTCACCAAAGTGAGCATTCCCTCCGAGCTTGCTTGCTGCAAGGGCGGTCTTCTCTGCAGCATCGCCAAAGTGGGCATTGCCTCCATGCCTTCCATAAGGATGACAAAAAAATCCTGCACGGTGGCAAAGCTTTGCATCGGCCGTGAAAACGCCTCTTCTCATCTGCTCGCCGAAGCGAGCCGATTCGAATGCCCCCAGAGGCGAGGCTTCATCGGCGAAACTCGTGGCGATTATGTCACTGCATTCGGAAAGCTGCCCCAGCTTTAGTAACGATTGAACGATAGAAGTTGGAAAGAACTACTTACAAGGAGAGACGAGAAGAGAAGAGATAGGCCGAGCGCAAGGCGATCCATGGTCTTGCGATGGGGCTGGAAGCCAGAATTTATTGATCGTAGTCTCACTGTGCAAGTAAAGAGACAGATATCTTTCAAGCCTCCGTGGCTTTAACTCTTTTGTCGGAGCGTGAATTATAGAGGAAGAATTCAATTTAGAATTGCATGTTGAAACTTTTGCTAAAACTCTTTATAAAATTATTGCATTGATTAATTGATCGATTTTGGAGATAAGGACCCGCACCAACTTTCGGGCTGGACGAATTCTGGCAGAATTTTCAAGATAATTATTTAATCTAATTAATTTGTATTAAGGTTGGGACTACTACTTCTGCAATTGATCCATTACCAGCACTGGCTGATAGTGCCAAGGTAAAAATACATTTTCTAGTTATTGAATGTTTTAATATTTTCCAAGAGACGGGAATGTGGGATGTGGTTCCATGTTGATGCAGCTTATGCTTGTAATGCATTTGTCCAGAATTTCGACATTTTTTAAATGGTGTTGAAAATGCCCACTCTTTTAATCTAAGTGCAAATAAGTGGCTTCTTACCAATATTGACTGCTCCATACTTTGGCTGAAGGTTTGATCTTTTACAAACGTTACGATCAATTTTTAATATACTCTTACAGGACTCTAAGCAGCTATCTTCGACACTTTCAACATTAACAAACAAAGAGGTATGAGTTTTTAAATCTACTCTTTTTCATAGTTCAATTCAGTCTCGGGTGGTAAATTTCAAAGATTGGCAAGTTGCTCAAGGAAGACGATTTAGGTAAGTGCGAATAATTCTTTTTCCTTTGACATGGGATACTCTTTTCAGATCTTTAAAGCTGTGGTTTATGATGCGCTTGTATGGAGCCTCGGGACTTCGTAGCCACATAAGAACTCACATAAACCATGCTAAGCATTTCGAGATCCTTGTGCGAGAGGACTCTCGCTTTGAGGTATAACTCGTGAGAGTTCTCTAAAATTGTGAGACCATGATCTACGTTTGTGAGTTGCCAGATCTTAGCACCATGTCGATTTGGTCTCGTTTGCTTCAGGCTCAAACCAAGTGTAAAACAGTAAGGGCCAACAGCGTCGAGCGCCGTCAGGTGGTCGAAGATTGGAATGGACACTCGGAGAGATCTCTGTGAAGATAACGGAGGGAAACTGAACTGTTTGCTTCTGGAAGCTGGGGGAAAGATTTTCATGACACAAGGAGCTCTCAAGCTATAGTGAAATGGGACTATAACCTATTTATCCTCAGGTACTCTCGGGCGTGTATACATTGAATGTCAATTGGTGGCACGCAGACTAAACGTGAAAATGTTGATGGTGCGTGGAAGATAATCCAGGAGGAAGCACAAAACTTGTTAGATCAAGATTAATAAGACCAGGTTATAATATCAAGAATAATAATTAAATAAGAAAACCCTAGCTTTTAAAATGGTGAAAATTCTGGCCCAGTGGCTATGTGTGAGAAAGGGGCGAGTCTCGGAAGAGTTCTAGATGTGGTGACTAGGTATGTTTTTCTCTTTTCCTTTGTATCCGTTCCAGGTACTAGGCTCGCCAGGCAGCAGCATTGCCCGAGCAAGAGGGCTGTAGAAAGATCGAGGTTATATTTCTCAAGATCGTCTCCCAGGATCGCCAGGAGCTTTTCGGGAAGCAATGCGGAGAGCCCATCATCAAGAAACCCATTGAGAAGAGGGGATTTTTGCTAGGAAACCATTTGAATTGGAGAACACACATAACTGTGGTTTTTGCCGGCGCTATTTTGCTCGCAACACCTGTGTTTGCGGCTGATGCTCTCAAGACATGTTCCTGTCTTCTAAAAGAGTGCTGGTAATTTTATTTTTCTCTTTTGTCCTTCAAGAAAGATGAGTTTTTTTTTCTTCCCTAGATTGGAGCTTGCTTGATGCATTGCAGATCCTTCGTGTGCTGCCGATGTTGCGTGCTTGCAAACTTGTAATAATTGACCTAACAAGACTGAGTGCCAAGTAAGTCTCTAGATTTTGTGTAAAACTTCTTTTGGATTGATAGACCGTTGTGATTCACAAATACTTTCGGATAAAATGCAGAGACATTTTCGAAAACAAGGTGGTGGATAAATTCAACAATTGAGCAGTGAAAATGCAAAGACATTTTCAAGAACAAGGTGGTGGACAAATTCAACGATTGTGCGGTGAGCTGCAAGAGCTGCGTCCCGCAGAAGAAAGATGAGGGGCATTTCCCAGTCCCGCCACCCTCGGCACTTATCTAGAGCTTTGACACCACGAAGTTTACCAGGAAATGGTTCATCTCCAAATGTGTTTAAAATAATGAAGTTGTTTAATATTTAAAATATTTATTTACAACTTATCAAGAATTTAAAAAAATTAATATAATTTCAACTATTTTTTGTTGTTAACCCCAAAGCCAATAAGTATTATTATTATTATGACTAAGATACAATCAAGCATAAACAGTGGCAATGGGAACGAACATAATGACCGTTTCCACAAACCAGTGACAAACATAAGTCTTGCCCATCTTGTGGCACAGAACGTTTGGAGTGAGCTCCATGCCACTGCTGGTCTTCACATTTACTTTGGAAGCGCTGGTGCTACTCACCTTGTGACAGAAGTAAACTTTGTATGGAAACATAGTCGTGTGGCAGACGACCATAAGAGTGTCGCCTTTCGTGATGGGCTTGACCTCGCCAAGCTTGATAGTTTTTCCAACCTCGGCCGCAAAAGCCTTGCTTCCTGTCACCATGGTAATCTCCACAGGGCCAAGGGTGGAGGTGACGAACTCGGCCATTTCTTCCGTGGAAGCCACACACTTCATCTTCCCCCCAGCATTGTCATTGCAGAGTTCCAGAGTGAAGGCCATTTTTCTTGCCAGTGGAGACTCCTTTGGGACGTTAAACTCCTTCAAGTATGAGTCAAGGCTCCGCTTACCGAAGTTTGTGTGCTTAGCCATTGCGCTTGGCAGGAGTGCCCGTGGAGGATAAGTGTCACGGATGTTTGGGAGGACACTTTCAGTTCCTGTCAAGATTTTCCACAAGTACGAGTAAGAAGATAAGTTTGCAAAAGGAATGTTTGGACTTACCGTTTCTTTGTCGGAGTTCTTCCAGTGTGAAGAAGTGGTGGAGCATTCCAGGGGAGCACTTCGTTATTAAGGCTTTGATGGTTGGCCAGTCCATAGAGTGCAGTGACTTCCTTCCTCCATAACCCTCTTCCTCGTACTCAGTAAAAATCTGGATCAAATACAGCGGCATGTTCTTCTTGCAACTAGTGCTTGGTTTGACAGAAGCATCGCCAAAGTGAGCATTTCCTCCTAATCCGTGGTCACCAAAGTGAGCATTTCCACCTAGAGAAGCATCACCAAAGTGAGGATTTACGCCTAAACCATGGTCTTTGAAGTCCCCAAAGTGAGCATTGCCACCTAAACCTTTGAAGTCTCCATTGCCATGGTCCTTAAAGTCGCCAAAGTGAGCATTGCCACCCAAACTTTTGTCTTTGAAGTCACCAAAGTGAGCATTACCACCCAAACCATGATCTTTGAAATCGCCGAAGTGCGCGTTGCCACCCAAACCATGGTCTTTGAAGTCGCCAAAGTGGGCGTTACCACCCAATGATCCATGGTAACCATTTCCACCCAAACTTTGGTCTTTGAAGTCACCAAAGTGAGCATTACCACCGAAACCATGATCTTTGAAATCGCCAAAGTGCGCGTTGCCACCCAAACCATGGTCTTTGAAATCGCCAAAATGGGCGTTGCCACCCAATGATTTGAAATCGCCAAAGTGGGCATTGCCACCCAAGTCATGGTCTTTGAAGTCGCCAAAGTGTGCATTTCCACCCAATGATCCGTGGTCTTTGAAGTCACCAAAGTGCGCGTTTCCACCCAATCCAGTGTCACCAAAGTGAGCATTTCCGCCAAGCCCGTGATCCTTATGAAAGTCACCAAAGTGAGCGTTTCCACCCAGAGCTCCATGATCTTTGAGGTCACCAAAGTGTGCATTGCCGCCAAGATCTCTGGCTTCCAGCGAGCGTACACGGTCATGGAAGTCACCAAAGTGAGCATTCCCTCCGAGCTTGCTTGCTGCAAGGGCGGTCTTCTCTGCAGCATCGCCAAAGTGGGCATTGCCTCCATGCCTTCCATAAGGATGACAAAAAAATCCTGCACGGTGGCAAAGCTTTGCATCGGCCGTGAAAACGCCTCTTCTCATCTGCTCGCCGAAGCGAGCCGATTCGAATGCCCCCAGAGGCGAGGCTTCATCGGCGAAACTCGTGGAGATTATGTCACTGCATTCGGAAAGCTGCCAAACAGGAATCCCCAGCTTTAGTAACGATTGAACGATAGAAGTTGGAAAGAACTACTTACAAGGAGAGACGAGAAGAGAAGAGATAGGCCGAGCGCAAGTCGATCCATGGTCTTGCGATGGGGCTGGAAGCTAGAATTTATTGATCGTAGCCTCACTGTGCAAGAAAAGAGACATAGATTTTTCAAGCCTCCGTGGGGACAATTGCTTTAATGCTCTTTTGTCCGGGATCGTGAATTATTGATCTTGGCTTTGTACATTTCTCGATTTGCAGATAAGGACCCGGCACCGGCTATCGTGCTGGACGATCTCAACTAATCATGTCAGAACCCTAAACACCGACGTTGATGGATCCACAAGAGTTTCGAGCTCAAGCGCACAAGATGGTCGATTTCATCGCGGACTACTATCGGGATGTGGAGAGCCTTCCTGTGCGCAGCCAAGTTACAGTGAGTATATGATAAAGATCCATTGCCACATTCCAGGTTTGTTTCTTGTAGCCGGGATACTTGCGGAGTTCTCTTCCATCCAATGCACCCGAGGAGCCCCAAAGCTTTGACACTGTTCTGGACGGTTTGCCTCGAGATTATCCATCCTATGATCCAAGAGTAGAAACAGCATTGTCGATTCGATTGTTTGGCACACAGATGTGAAGTCAATGATAGTCCCTGGCGTGACGCATTGGCAGAATCCAAACTTTTTTGGTTTCTTCCCATCCAACAGTAGCACGGCGGGGATGCTGGGTGAGTTTCTCAGCGGCGGATTCAACGTAGATGGAAGCGAGTGGGCGACTTCTCCCGCGGCAACCGAGCTGGAAATGCTCGTCCTAAACTGGCTGGGAAAGCTTCTCAATCTTCCAGACGAGTTTCTCTTCAATCGAAGCGGTAAACTCTTCATTTTAATCAGCAGTAGATTAACTTGAAGTTTAAATAGGCAATGGTGGTGGAGTGATCCATGCTAGTGCTAGTGAGGCTGTTCTAGTAGCCTTGCTAGCCGCTCGAGGTCGGGCTATTTCAGAGAACAAAGCCAAAGGTCTGGAAGAACAAGAAATTCTCTCCAAACTTTTGGTCTATACATCGGATCAAACACATCCTTGTCTACACAAGGCATGCGTGGTAGATAAACTATACATATTTAAATAGTATAATTTCTTATGAAATTGTTATTGCAGATTGTTGGGCTCCCCAAAAGCAACCTTGTGATTCTGCCGACACTTGCGACGGATGATTATGCTCTTTCACTTCCTATATTAAAATCAGCTGTTCGAAACGGTGTCACGAAAGGTTTCATACCATTTTTCCTTGGAGCAACAGTGCGTAAGAATTTTCAAGATAATTATTTAATCTAATTAATTTGTATTAAGGTTGGGACTACTTCTTCTTCTGCAATTGATCCATTACCAGCACTGGCTGATATTGCCAAGGTAAAAATACATTTTCTAATTATTGAATGTTTTATTAATTTCCAAGAGACAGGAATATGGGATGTGGTTCCATGTTGATGCAGCTTATGCTGGTAATGCTTGCATTTGTCCAGAATTTCGACATTTTTTAAATGGTGTTGAAAATGCCCACTCTTTTAATCTAAGTGCAAATAAGTGGCTTCTTACCAACATTGACTGTTCCATACTTTGGCTGAAGGTTTGATCTTTTACAAACGTTACGATCAATTTTTAATATACTCTTACAGGACTCTAAGCAGCTATCTTCGACACTTTCAACATTAACAAACAAAGAGGTATGAGTTTTTAAATCTACTCTTTTTCATTTATACAATTTCATTTCAGCTAAAAACTAGTTCAATTCAGTCTCGGGTGGTAAATTTCAAAGATTGGCAAGTTGCTCAAGGAAGACGATTTAGGCAAGTGCGAATATTTTTTTTTTACTTTGACATGGGATACTCTTTTCAGATCTTTAAAGCTGTGGTTTGTGATGCGCTTGTATGGAGCCTTGGGACTTCGTAACCACATAAGAACTCACATAAACCATGCCAAGCATTTCGAGATCCTTGTGCGAGAGGACTCTCGCTTTGAGGTATATCTCGTGAGAGTTCTCTAAAATTGTGAGACCATGATCTACGTTTGTGAGTTGCCAGATTTTAGCGCCATGTCGATTTGGTCTAGTTTGCTTTAGGCTCAAACCAAGTGTAAAACACGAGGATAACGGATGGAAACTGAACAGTTCGCTTTTGGAAGCTATCAACTCCGGGGGAAAGATTTTCATGACACACACAGTAAGAAGCTCTCAAGCTATAGTGAAATGGGACTATAATCGATTTATCCTCAGGTACTCTCGGGCGTGTATACTTTGAGGATGTCAATTGGTGGCACGCAGACTAAACGTGAAAATGTTGATGATGCGTGGAAGATAATCCAGGAGGAAGCACAAAACTTGTTAGATCAAGAGATCATTTAATAAGATATCATTGTGCCTAAAAAACATTTAGGAATAATAATAATTAAATAAGAAAAACCCTAGGCTTTAAAATGGTGAAAATCCTGGCCGTTGGCCAGTGAAATAAGCGGCGGATCCATGGGCTACGTGGGAGAAAGGGGCAAGTTATCCATGGAGTTTCAGAAGAGTTCTAGATGTGGTGACCAGGTATTTTTCTCTCTTTTCCTTTTTATCCGTTTTGGCGATGAACGCAAGGGCATTTTGCGCTCCTCCAGGTACTAGACTCGCCAGGCCGCAGCATTGCTTGAGCAAATGGGCTGTAGAAAGATCGGGGATCAAGCAGCCAAAGAAAAACTATAACCAGGTTATGCTTCTCACGATCGTCTCCCAAGATCGCCAGGAGCTTTTCGGGACGCAATGCAGAGAGCCCATCATCAAGAAATCCATCGAGAAGAGGGAATTTTTGCTAGGAAACCATTTGAACTGGAGAACACACATAGCTGCGGTTTTTGCTGGCGCGATTTTGCTCGCAACACCCGCTCTTGCGGCCGATGCTCTCAAGACGTGCTCCTGTCTTCTGAAAGAATGCCGGTAATTTTATTCTTCCTTTGAGAAAGATGAGTTTTTTTTTTTTTTTTTCTTCCCCTAGATTGGAGCTCGCTCGATGCATTGCAGATCCTTCGTGCGCTGCCAACGTTGCGTGCTTGCAAACTTGTAACGATCGACCTGACGAGACCGAGTGCCAGGTAAGTCTCTAGATTTTGTGTAAAATGTTTTTTGGATTGATCGATCGTTGTGATACTTTCAGATAAAATGCGGAGACATTTTCGAGAACAAGGTGGTGGACGAATTCAACGATTGCGCAGTGACCCGCAAGAGCTGCGTCCCGCAGAAGAAAGACGAGGGGCGTTTCCCAGTCCCGCCACCCTCGGCACTCGTCCAGAGCTTCGACACCACGAAGTTCACCGGGAAATGGTTCATCTCCAGCGGCCTCAACAGGTCCTTCGATACTTTCGATTGTCAGCTCCACGAATTCACCGCCGCTCCACAGAGATTGACAGGGAACTTGAGCTGGAGAGTGAACACTCCCGACGGGGGATTCATCACTCGAAAAGCAGTCCAGAGCTTCCAACAGGACTCCAAGAATCCAGGAGTTCTCTACAACCATGACAACGAGTTTCTACACTACAGGGACGATTGGTAAGTTTCATTCGATCGATCAAAACTTAGTTTTTCTTTGGCAATCTCCATAGGTACATTCTTTCGTCCAAGCTGGAGAATCGGGGAGACGACTATGTTTTCGTGTACTACCGAGGATCAAACGATGCATGGGACGGATATGGTGGCGCCGTCGTCTACACTCGCAGTAGAACACTGCCGCGCAGCATAGTGCCCGAGCTCCAGCGCGCGGCAGCCAAAGTGGGCCTGGATTTCGCAAAGTTCTCGAGCACGGACAATTCGTGCGGGCCGGAGCCGCCGCTGCTGGCGCGGATCGAGAAGAAAGTGGAGGAGGGCGAGAGCGTCCTGGCCGAGGAGGTGCGGGGCATCGGCAGGGCCGAGAAATCGCTGCTGGACAAGATCGAGAGCGGGATCAAGGAGCTGGAGAAGGACGAGGTCAGTTTCCTCAAGGGATTGAGCGAGGAGGAGAAGGCGCTGCTGGAAACGCTCAAGATGGAGGCCAAGGACGTGGAGAAGCTTTTCGGGGGCGCGGTCCCGGTGAGGAAACTCCGCTAGCCAGGAGCACTAAAACTTTAAAACACGCGAATATTCACAAGCATGCTAGCTTGGGGCTGTCGTGTACAGCCACGTGTCGCTAGACTGACACGTCGGTCAGCGGCATGGGCCCCAGCTGTCGGTTTCCGGCCGGCCACCAACCGCGGCATGCGACTGAAATCCTTGTCGGACGCTCGCCGCGGCGCTTCCGGCATGGTGAAAAACTGGCGGTGAAAAAACGAGCCGTGCATGCGGATGCGGTAAAGTAAAAAACCGGGAGTCCTGCCACGTCGGCGTGGACGAAGCATATTCCAGGCTCTGTCACACAGGCTGGAAATGAGATGGCTCTCCTCGTCTATCCACTTGGTTTGAGCTGATTCGATCCACGATATGGGCTCTTCTATTCCAATCCTCGCGGCGATTTGGGGCTAATTGGGCCGCGAAATCGAGCAAAGATCTGGGCTTTGCGCTCTCGTGCTCCCCCAAATTCCCCAATTTCTCAAGCTAAAATGTGGGTTCTGGGTCTGGGCTCTAAATTTCTCTCTCTTTCTTTTCTTTCCATTTCTTTTCTTTCGCTTTGATCATTGACAGTTTGGTGTGTCTTGTTATGGAATGGTAGTAGCATCAGGTGGGATCTCTGGATCGAAAGCGCCATAGCCACCATCTTAAGCTAAGCTAAAGATCGAGGAGCTCTTTTGCTGGGAAGGCTCCAAGAGACAAAGCTTTTAAGTGTTTTTTCTCCTCTTTTGTGTTTTTGTGCTGCTATGGTGTTTGGAGAGGCACAAGAGATCAGGAGGGTAATAGCACAGCATAGCAGCAGACAAGCCTTTGATTCTTTTGTTCTGTCCCCAAAATATCCCATCCTCTCTCTCCAGCTGTGATCTTCTTCCCAAATTCCTCCGAGTTGAATTCTTCCCATTCTGATTCTCACTCCTCGCTAGTCGATCTCGGCGAGAATTCCCTTTGTTGGTCTGGATCAATCACACAGGGACAGTGAGATCTTTTCGCGAATGCAAGCAATGCTGCCTTGTATTGCTTGCAAGCGGCATGCGATTGAGGACGATGACGAAGACGAGGACGAGGACGATTACACTGGAGGCCGAAACAACACAATTACAAAGGCCGAGGTCAAGTCCTTGTCTTCACAGGTCAGTAGTTCTTAGCTGGTGTTCTTCCTTCTTTTCTAGTCTCTCCATAGCTCTAGAGCTCTAGAACTTTCATTGTCTCTAGGAATCATGCTAGGAGATATAGTTGTAAGTACTTACAGTCTACAGACTGTGTGCTTCCTTTTTTTTTGTTCTAGCTGGAGAGTGCTTTGATTTGCTTTGCTTGCTTGTTTGTTTGTCCCTTGTAGCAGCAGCAACGCGTGTTATGAAATCAATGGCTGTTTTTATGACAAAGAGGTACCGACAGGATTCCATTGTTTGCGTTCCAGATCCAGCATAACTTCCAGCTTAAGCAGCTCTAATCATCTTTTTTTCTCTTTCTTTCTCGTGTTCTTGATGGTTTGTCTTTGATCGTTTGGCAGCTCAAAGACGTGGTTTTGAAGGTCTCGGCAGCTTACAGGCAATGCAGGCCATGCGCTGGATCAAAGGGGAAAACTTTCGAGCACGAATTCGTGATTGGAAACTCGGATGCTTCGTCGTCCGAGGATCAGTGGATCCAAAAGTCTGGGATTCTCAAGAAGGAGAATTATCCCAGCAGTGCTGCGAGCTCCATCTCTGAGGGCGCAGTCTCGGTGAAACAGGACGAGCAATCCAGTAGTAAAGTTTCACCGAGTAGTCAAGCGAGTAGCAACAGCAGCAGTGGATCCGCGGCGAAGAATTCTTCTTCCAAACAAGATCATCGTGACCAACATAACGAGAGGAACTGCGAGGAGACGAGCCAGGAATGGGTGGCACAAGTCGAGCCTGGCGTTCTTATAACTTTCATAGCAATGCCCAACGGAGAGAATGAGCTCAAGAGAATTCGATTCAGGTGAGCTTGGTTTTCTTCTAAGCTTTGCAATTCTTCCGCTTTATTTCTTTCTCAGTCGCGAGCTTTTTAACAAATGGCAAGCTGAAGCATGGTGGGCCGAGAACTGTGAGCGTGTTCACGAGCTCTACAACGTCTCTGGAAACGATCACTCGTTTCCAAACAGCCAGAAAGATCAAGTAACTTCAGAAGTTTCTTATTTCTCTGTTCTTGCTTGAGTCCATCTCTGGAAACAAAACTTACTTTTCTTGTTGGATCACTCCAGGTGGAAGCACAAACTTCGCAGCAAAATCACGCGGAAGTGACAAAATCCAACACCACGAGTGACGAACTGACCGAATGGGTCGAAGAAGACGAGCCCGGGGTTTATATCACTGTGAAGCTCGGCCCAAATGGCAACCGAGAATTAAAGCGTGTAAGATTCAGGTACGAGTTCACAGAAAAATTCGATTTTTTTCCTTCAATTTTCCTGTTTTCCAGTCGCGAGAAGTTTAGCGAGAGGCAAGCAAAGCTATGGTGGGAGAGGAATCGCTTTAGAATACATGACAATTATTTGTAACGTCAATTATTTGAGCTTTACATTGTTAGAGCTTCAATTATTTGTAACCTTTTAGGTCGTAGCTGGATATAAAAAGTAGCATAGATTGATTTGGGAATTCATGTGTGTGCAAGTACTGGAACAAGGTCATCTCTTCAAGCAGATTTCGCAGTTTTTACAACACGATCGCAAAAAGTGGTTCATCACGGTTACAAAAGACGGCTCGCCGGACCTGTGCGGCTGGCACCTGATTCGACACGAGCTCGTGCCCAGCTCTGTCAAATACATGGTGCTCAAGCTTTCAATAACTAGGTCAGGAAATGGGAGGTTGGCGCTGGTTGATAGAGAGGATGGTGAGACGCTGGCACTGGTGTCTTGTCCGCGAGTGCTGGATTGCGATGGCATGGTTGGAATGTTTGTATCGGATGGAATGCTGCTGGTTGTCGGGGTTGACAAGCGGGAGAGGCGTCACGGTTTGGAGGCTACGCGAATTGGATGTCTACTCAGATCCAGTGCCAGTGTTGGAATGGGAGGACGAGGGATTGGAGCGAGGTTGTGGACAGCAGCTCCGTTCGGTATAGCCAATGGGCATGGAGGACTTGTATGAATAGGACTGTCATAAGGCGCTTCCTTGGTGACCAAGTACTAGTTTGTAAGCTAAGAAAAAACTGTCTATGGTCTCATGCAAACATTGAGGCAATGGTATCGTTACATCGATGAGTTCCTTTAGGAGAAGGGTCCATCAGATTGCATCAAAAGGAAAAAGGTGGCCGCTTTTAGTGATTCTTCCTGAAATTTTGCATACAATTGGAAGAGATCCTTTATCCGGGCTGGCAGTGACGTTGCAGATATCACGATCTGGTCATCTCTCGCTGGTAATCTTAGAAGTTAAACTTTGAGGCATTTTCTTTTTCAATTTTAGAGTATGTCTTTCACTTGTATGGCTCTACTCCACGATCTAGCTTCCAAGTACTCTGTTGAAGTGAAGTCAGTAGAGCTCCAAAAGCCGACGCCCAGACAGTAGAAAGGCCTCAAGCACCGTAGAAAGGCTGCCTCTCAACCTCAAGCCAACAGAAGACTTGAAGTACCTTTGTCACAAGGAATTTGACTGCTGCAAATCTAGTAGCATCTTCAAGAAACGATATAAAGTAACTCTTTTTCTTGCGTGTGATCTAGACCTGAAACGGTCCACAAATATCAGAGTGCACTAGCCCCAAATTTTGAGTGCAAGGGAGCTAGATCCATTGCTTACACGGCTCACAAAGGGACATCTTCGAAGATTTAATGTGCAAACCATCTACCACTTGAGCTCATGACATCCCTCCAATGGTTTGCTTATTCACATGGCCCCATCACCAGTGCTAAGTCAGGAGATCGGCACTTCCCCCGAACAGCTGCACAGACTATCACCATCACCTGGTTCTGGATCTTTAACCAAGCAGTCCAATCTGGCCAACTTTCATCAGCCAAGCCACGGATGATTGATATCCACTTCAGTGCTTGAGAAAAGTAGCACAAGATCCTGTTCCACCATCTGGCTGATGGAAATGCAGAGGAATGTACCATATACCACGTCCTTGCCATCTGAAAGTTTAGTTTGGAGATTTGTTGCCGCACAATCCAACCACAAGGTGTATGGCACACTTTGGATGTCCAAAATGTGTCAGGTTTGCACTTTGCAGTTCAATAAGCGATAAGAGTTTTCTTTGCATCTTGATTGTCATCTTCTTATCAACAGTCTTGATTTAGCCCAATTTGGTAGTATACGAAGCCAACCACCAATCACTGGATCTACTAGTGTGGTTAAATATAATGATATGGCACTGAGATGGGCATTGATGTGGTTTAACTCATATAACTAGCTAATTTTAAGACCACTATAGGTAACCAATACAAATAGATTAACAAGAAGTTTTATTAGTGTAATGGCATAATAAAATGGAGAATGAGCAATCTAAAAAGTGAATGAGTTATCAATCTTTAACATGAATGCATTCTTTCTCTTTCTCAGCTTTCAAAAAATCTTGATGTAGAGATGAAAAAAGAGGGAAAGCCATTGAAAGTTGGTGTTACCAAAAAAGCAAGGGCTGAAAAAGATAATAAAAAATTATTTTTTATTGTAATAAAAAGGGAGTTTCATTGTCAAGAGTTTCTTGTCAAAAGAAGGAAAGACAACGAAATTGCTAATAATAAATAAAAAAAGGGAAAAAATGGATTTGTGTTGAGCATTTTAAATATAAAATTCTCAAAATCCTAGGGGATCTGGAAATTAATTTAATTAGCCCTAGTTAATCTATAAATTTAATCTGGATATAAGTCCATGCTAATTCACGTGCCACAACTTGAGAGTTGGGATAGTTAAAGTTAAACATCTTTAGGTTTAGGAAGTTTAAATTCAAGAATTTACACTTATTCACATATATAATAAATCTTGAATGAACAAAGGTTTTCTTGAAGTTCAAATTCATAAGTTTACACCTATCTATATGTATAGTAAGTTTTGAGTTTAACTATGACTAATAATAGTGAATACATTCCTCAGTAAAACAAAAAAATGACAAATATATAATATTCATAAAAAATTTATCAACCTCCAACATAAGGTGTCAACCTTTAATAGAAGCTTCAAACCATATATGCTGGTAAATTTGTATTTCAACTTTGATTTCATAATATTTATATTTGTTTTCATTTTAGAATGGTATATCTAGACTTCAAAAAAGATACCATTGCCTGCTACAACAAATGGAAAGTAGAGTTTACAAAGCATAATAAGATCAAAGCTATCAACAAGAATGATTGGTACAAGTAGTACAAAATTATTAATAACTTCATATTAATAAAGGTTAATGCATGTAAAGAGATTCATGGAGGTGTGAATAAGACTTACCACATAAGTACAACTAAATAACTAAGCAAACAAAAATAATAGTAAATAGTTGAATATATTTGAATTTTTAGGATTTAATAGTTGTTATTCATTTAGATTAATCTTGTGTATGTTTATAATTATTGATCCATTGGATTAATAAATAATAATATTATTAAGGAAACCAAAATATTGTAAATTTTAAGTGGTTTTATTATTTTCAACTATAGAGAAAACAGCCGTTAGGAATTAGGAATTGTGATGGCAAAATAGGAGGCAGTGTATGATTGCTGTCATGGCAATTGCTTTAGCAAAATGGTTAGGCAAGTGTTTTGGTTCTGGAGTTATCTTTGATAAGACTTTTTTTAGGCTTCTTCGTACAAGTTGAAGTCGCATTGCTCGCCATGCTCAGCTTTTTCATCTTTGTCACATCAGAACACATGTGACCTGGCCATCACGACCAACCAGCAATTTCTAGTACTAGACCAGCTCCCCATCAATTGTTGTTGAATGTGTGTGTCAAGAAGCTGCAAGTGAGAGCAGATTGCCGTAGATGACATGCCCTTGAACAAGACTGCATTGAATTCTGGATCAGCAACTCCTTGACTTAGAGTCAAGGAGGTGAATCTGCAGGGCTTTCGGGTGATAAATTTCTGAATGGGTTCTCCAAGATCTTGCATGAGGCTGTAAAATTCACTGTGCCGAATGATGATATCGGTGTCCTATGTTGCATAGGCTCCCATAACCTGGTTCACATGACTGCGCCAGATTGCATGTTATCGATGTGAACACTGTAGAGCGCGAGCGTTTAGATCTAGCCAGGTAGTTTCCTTTGCCCAGAAACTATGGGCCACAATCCCCATCGCATCAATGAGCACGTTCTCCGAAATTGTCGCCATTAAACACCTCCATCTCTCGAAGGAATTTCATATACTCGTCGGACTGAACCACAAGGACCATTAACCTAGATATGATAAACATAAGACAAGAATGAAGATCCTGTTACCAGACCTATCTATCTCTCTGAAGACTGAGAAAAACTAAGATGGAATGGAAGAAGCACCAACCAGAGGACGTCCAAACTAGACACCGGTGCAAGGGTCATCAACAAGAAGGCTGTTTGACTCGGCAGTTCTTAGCTCTACATTTTCGTGTCCCATCTTTCTCCAATAAGCACATTTAGTCCAGCAATCCTTCATGAAGCTGAACCTTTGTTCTCCAGGTTGCGAAGTTTTCTCGTGTAAATTTGTGAAACAATTTCTCCCATTCACGTCCCAGTTTGTGGCTGATGTGGAGAAATTGCTCCACAAATTTAGAAAACTTTGCAACCTGGAGAATGTAGAAGGTCCAGCTCATCCTAATGTGCTGGGTCTCCAGCCAGC